AGACGCGGAAACCTTCATAATCAACACATATTTAACTATTGTCCATGCAAATTCTCATATTAGTTGAAGATGTAAACTTTTTAGAACACAAGACAAAGTGATAAGCACAGCATAATTCTCTATAAGGCTAATAAATGAAGAAGGCAACTGCTGATACACAAGATAGAAGAATGTTTAGATACACATACTGTTTCCCCCTTGTCGAGGAAGAGTTTAGCAATTTCAATGCCAGCCTGCAATTGCCACCATATACAGCAAGGATTAGAACATCTACACACGTCAAAAGGCAATAATTTGTAGTCTTAAACTGAATAGCACTATTGTGGTCTTTAAGAAATTTCATTCTTTCTTGTAGCTAACTTTACAAATCTATCTTCTAGTTACAGCAACTTAGTTTGCACAAAGATAAGCCATCCACATCAGGATAACTATGATTCTACTCAAATATAAGGTATAATTCATATTTCTTACAGACATACCTGCACCAGTCCACCAAGATTGTCTCGAAGGTCGAGGACAAAATAAGAGGCACCCATGTCTTGAAGTCTTCTCATTGCTGCCAAAAAGAAAAAAAAGAATGAAAGAAAAAGAAAAAGGAAAGAAGGAAGGGTAGAAGTAGATCAAGAAATTTACTCAAAATGAACGAATAGAAAACAATTATGTAGCACAAAGGACACACTTTTGGGTCATCTTTAATTAAGATGCCAAAACTTCGGTAGAATGATATATAACACCATCCATATCCTTATACTCGAAAAGGGTAAATAAATGGGAAGGTAATTACAGAGAGTGTGCATAGGATGCATTTACGTGAAGTACCTGTAACCAAATCTTTTCTGGCCAAAGCATTGAACTCTTTCAGGCGCACATACCCAACAGAACTTGAACTATTCTTAACCTGTTCCAAGCGGTAAAAAACTGGGGACTTGGCAATAGACTGCCGCTGAATCCTTATGGATTGCACAGGTCCACAGTTCCCATGCTTGACCTAACAATGATTGTTAACTGAAGATAGTTAGTAGGCAGAAACATCAAGAAATAATGATGTATCAACAAGGTCTGCACTTGATTCACCATGATGTTGACAAACGTTTCATTGGGTCCTTGTAGCAATGATGATGCTTCAAATGCTGATTTTCCTTTCACATCCACCCCATTAATAGACAGTAGTTCGTCTCCCTAAGATAAGTTTGGATACAAAATGAGAAACATATATGGATCCAGAAACCAGTTAAACTAACTATAATCCTTGTATATCCATATTGTTTTGATCAGCATAAATACCCGTGTAAAAAATGGGAAGGAGAAAGGGACACTTAGTGAGTGTTGAAGCTTTTGAGTAGAACTATTTTTAACTTGGAACCGAATTCATATTACATGCCACCTCATTGATAGTGGTGAAGTAGCATATACTTTAAAGCTTTTCACAATGTAAAATGTTAAATATAGTCATAATCTAAAATTTACCCAACATATGAAGTCATTATTGAATATAAAACTAAGATTTAGAAAAGAATTGTGGCAAAAGATGAACTATCTACCTGTCTAACACCAGCAGTCTGGGCGGGACCGTCCAATATAAGTCCTAAAACCTTCAACTTTGTCACCCCATTATCATCTGGAATTTCCCGTAGGTTTATACCGATGCCGGTCATATCATACCTTGCCATCTTGGAGAACTTTTGTTCATGACGGAACCAACACCATGGAATGAGAAAACTGAAGAGTGTTGTAAGTAAAACAATATTGATATGAGTATACAAGGACTGGGTTCATATTTTTTCTTTTTTGAGAGAAAAGCAAAGTAAGTGTAGTTTGAGTGGTTCAAGTAAATTAATAAGAATATAATTTGGAACCATGAAAAAAAAAAACTAAAACGATACAATAAAGAAAATGTGGCATGTAAATGCAACCTAGCTCCGAAAACCCAGATACAGTGATCACATGAATGTGGGCCCTTTAAGTTTGAAATTAAGTATTGATTCTTTTATATCAATAGAATTCCAATCCAGCAAGTACTAACTTCAAATACATAAATGCTACGAACAACTCGATAAACATACTATCCATTACAGAGAGAAATCAAATTTGAAGAACTGATTACCTCGGTCGGAGAGAGAAAACGAGTGTAAGGGTCTCCTAAGCTCGCCAACATTCGCCTAATGATATCGTGGGCTCTTGATCTCGACTGAATCGAGGCGCCTAGCACGTCTTCCTTCTTTTTCTGAAAAAAAAACAACAGTTAAAACCAACCAAACCGCATTTCGCAAGGTGAAATTTAACAACTGAGTTATTAATTACATAAGATACATACAAGCCACGAATCAGAAGACCAGCGGTGCCGACCGGCGTCGAGAAAACCGTCATTCACAATTTGCCAAGCCTCCCCCACAATCTCCTCATTCGTCACAACCGGTGCCGTCAAACTACCATCCACGTAATCGTCTTCTTCCCGACAATTCAATTCCTCCTGGGGAGTAACTAATTCAGTCGAGACTGCATCTGGAGGAGATGCGTAGAAAAGCCCCAAGGAGAGTGCTACAGATACTAGGGTTGAACTTAGGGCTTGCGCAATAGACGGAATTTCGTGCGAGCGCCTTGTTTTGAGGGAAACTGCGAGGTTTTTTAATGGACGCCTGAATAAATTTGATTTCTGCACCAGCGGAGAATACGGCGACGGCGAATACGGCGGCGGCGTCGACGGCGGGGAGATTGATGGTGAAGAGTTGCAGAGAAGAAGCCTCACCATCTTTCACTCCTCTGTTTCATGCCGTTGGTTTTTATCACCGTTGGGGAGGAATGGAGAGATGTATTATCCTGGATTCTTCTGCTGTTACATTTTCTACAATTTTTTCCAATTTCAATGAAAGTATTTTTGGCAATACAACTAAAGTCGCTCTTTGTTTTTTTGTTTTTTTAATAGAAAAAAAACAGCTAAAGTCGCTATTGTTGCAATAAATAAAGCTAAAAGAGAAGTAATATTGGGCCTCTGCGGTCATAAATTTCTATGGGCTCACCGTTTCAAATTGTAACTATTGGGCCTAACCCACTTTGAAATGGGCTATGATTCATTTTATACTACCTTTTTCTGATCTATATAATATATCAACTAGTATTTTACCCATGCGATACATGTATAAAAATCGATTGCATTTGGTAAATTTACTTAAATTTAATTCAAATGTAAAATAAAGAAAAATAAATGTTTGATAAATCTAAATTATTATATTATCTATCAAACTATATCCTTATTTGCATCCATCACTTTCTTATATTATCCATTGAAAAAGTCAAAACCTCTATTAGTACAAGAAAACAAAATCACCATTTAATAAATGGGCCGGGCCAGATTCAAGGCCCATTTTAGCCCAGCTCTAGTCCATTGTAGATAAGCTCCAGTAGGTCATCACGGTATGGAAATTGGAAACTGAAATAAATTCTTATATTAATTAATTAATTAATTAATAATATAATAAAAGGAAAGAAGTGCAGTAAAAGCAATTAAATAAGGAAATTGAATATAAACACGCACTGATTATTAATCTAATTATGGTTATATCTATGATTAAAGACCCATAATTATATACAACGTTAATCTAAGAGAAGAAAAAAAAGAAAAAAAGGAAATAAAAGGACGAAACTTGACACTTCGACACAGCAGAGAGAGAGAGAGAGAGAGAGAGAGATACTTCAAATTTTAGAGAGAGAAAGTAAGAAGGGTTTTGGAAACTGCAAAGAGGAGAACAAATCTTTCTATTCGCTGCGGATTTTTGGAAAGATCTTTCTGCTTCCATCATCTGCTGCTTTGTTGTATTATCAATTATTACTATATATATATATATATTGAAGTGTAAGTAACAACACTTCCCTGTGTGGCTTTCTGCGTGTTTCCATATATATATATAATTATACATACACGAGAAGGAGAGGTTTGTGCTGAGGAGAGAATAAGGCAAAGCGTTGGCTTTGCGATATAATTGTTGCGTTAGATCTGTTTAAGGCAAGGATGAGTACCGGCAGGGGAAGCGGCGCCGGCAATGGCGGCGGTGTGCAACTCATTCCGGCGGGGTCGCGGAAGATGGTGCAGAGCTTGAAGGAGATAGTTGGCTGTTCCGAAGCGGAGATCTATGCCGCTCTTAAGGACTGCAATATGGACCCAAACGAGGCGGTTAATCGTCTCCTCTGTCAAGGTTTTTTTCTTTTTGAAACCCTAATGATTTCATTGTTTAATTTTTTGGTGGGATTGTTGTTTTCCTTTAGGGTTTTTTCTGTGAATTATATGCATTACTTGCGTCTTAGTTGCTAAGGGAACCAATGAACACGAATTAATAACTGGGACATTCTGTTTTCAATTGTATGACCCTGTAATTTTTATTTTCCTTGCTCCCATATTCCAGAGCTTTTCATGAATCTCGATATGAAAGGAAACTCTTAACAAAGTGTTCCATCTTTCCGTTTCTGGTTAGGTAATTTAGAAGCAGTGGAACTGGTATTTTTCATATTTTCGCTCATCTGACTTCGTAAAGAAAAAACATTACCTGAACATTGAGGTCTGTTCCCCGAGATAAGTAGGTTCAATTCTTGCAACAATGGGGTAGTTTTTAGCTTTGTCGGGAGATGGTGCAGTGAAATATCTTTCTTGCTTTCCAAAGCTTTGGTTTTTAAACGGATCTTGCTGGAGTGCAAGATTTAGTTTTGCACACTGTGATGGAATCACGCAACAGTCATGTTTCTGTATGCCTTGATTGCATAATTGCTTGACATCTCTCGACTTTTATCTTCGACAATGCAGATAGTGCCCAACTTTGATTTTTTAAGTTTTTGACGATAGCTGATTTCCCTGATATCACTGCTTTCGTGGCTGGATATGTTTTGGTTGTTTGCACTTTGCAGCAGATGTACTTTATGGACCTTCTAACCACTGTTTGGAGCTTCTTCTGCTATTCCATCAAATAATTCAACTTGTGTATTAAAATTTACGTTTTAAACTAATGGATGTAGCTGCCGTTGGATTGTTTTAAAGTTGAAATTGCTTTGTATTTTTAAACAATTAAACTTATTATCTGATTTCTTTACTATTGTTCAGATCCTTTCCATGAGGTGAAGAGTAAGCGGGAAAAGAAGAAAGAGGTGCGTGATTTTCGTCAATACATAAGCTTGCTATGGTATTGTTTGATAACTGGCTCTTTCCCTGTAGTTTGCAATCATAATAATATTACATGAAAAAAAAATTGTTAGCCATTCTATGCGGTGAATCAAAAAAGGGATTTTTTTTTTAATTTTGTTTGCTCCTCCCGTTAAAGATAGAATTATCAATCTTCCCGTGAGGAGACAGACCTAGCTTCCTTTTGTTTATCTGGGACATTAACTGAAAAACTTGGGGTATGCGTGTAAATTTGTTTTAGACAACAACTTGTTTGTAATATAAACTTATTTCTATTTTCGCAGGGTAAAGATACCACTGAGTCTAGGTCTCGTGGTGCTAGTAATAACTCAAGTCGAGGCGGCAAGAGTGGTGCTGATAGATACCATGGCCGTGGTGCTCCAACATCATATACGTCTTCTGGTACTGTTAGCTTCAGTATTTTAATGAATTCCTCTACGTATAAGTTAGCTGCAAGACATTGATAGGATATATAACATACTGTTTCGTTTTTCAGAGTATTCTGGAAGGCCGTCATCTAAGAAAGAAAATGGATCAACTCCTTATGCAAGTTCTTCGTCTTCAGTGCCTGTTACGGCAGCAAATAATAGAAGCAGAGGACCTATAGGCGTAAGGTCTGTCCTTTTTGAACTCATTACACTTGATTTGCAAGATTGTGCGACTATCATGATGAATATAATGATTATTGTTTGTCTCTTTTTCAGTTTCAATGAGCCTATGTTGTCTGAGCTACTTTTTATATGATATCTCTGTCCCAAGTTCTATATTTTAGGTGTAATGACAGTTAACAACTTTCAGTATAAACAATGAGTTTTTGAATTTCCTTCTAGTTGGTTTTTTTCTGTCACTAACAATTTAAGGCTCATTCTTTTACCTGTACGGTATGTTTGCAGTGATGGTGGCGTTGCTGAAAATAAAGGCACCGCTGATGCTATCCCAGCTGTCGTACCGCCTGCTGCTGGATATCAACCTGCCTGGGTGCTTGCTCCTGGTCAGGTGTCCATGGTTGACATTGTGAAGAAGGGCATACCACGTAATAATGCACCCAATGCATCTCACCACAATGTTAGGGGTTCTTCAGCAAGTGCGTCGCATCATAGTTCAAGAGTATCTTCAGATCCTCAGCCAGTCAAGGAGGAGTGGCCTTCCATAGAGAAGTCCGTTCCTACAAAAGTGACTGCTGTTCCAGAGTATTCTGTGGACTCAGAGCAGCATTTAGAGAAACCTGGTCTACCTTCTGACAGCATTAATCGATATTCTGAGGAAGAAGAGGTTCATGAAACAGAAGAAGATATCATCGAAACTGGAGCTAATGACGTGGGATCTGATTCTACCTCTAGTAGGAAGATTCAAGAGGATGATTCAAGGGCCCCATCTATGTTTGAGAATGATTTGTATGAAAACATAGGTTCTTACCATCGTCAGGCTCATGATTTCCATGAAGGTGACTTTTTTATCCACCCTATTGCAAATTCAACTTCAACTTCAACTTCAACTTTTATGCCAAAATATTTACAAAGGCCACCTAACAGATGAAAAATTGGTGCTATCTAAATCACAGTGGCTATTTGATTAGCAGTAGTTTGTTGACTTATACTCTTATTTGCTTAACCCGAGAAAGAAACTATGAATATCATGCGGGCTGGGATTACATATTTCTTTACTAGCGTCAATTTTTAACATTATGTTTTCATTTATTGAAACTTTAGTTGCTAAATCCTGTTAAGATGTTGCAGTTGAAGAAGTTGGTTCTCCAGTTTCTTCGGTCACCAGAAACTTGCAACAACTAAGTGTAGAGAATGAAGAAGGAGGATTGCCCTCTGACGGATACACGCCTTGTGTAGTAATTCCGGATCACTTGCAAGTTCAAAATGCAGATTGCTCACACTTGAGCTTCGGTAGTTTTGGATCGGGCATGAGTGCTGCATATTCCGGTACTACAACATCTGCGCCTGTAGAAACTATCTGGAAGAGCCGCTACCGAGGCAGATATTTCATCAGCTGGGCATCTGGACACTAGGTATTTTAGGATTTTTTATTTTTAATTTTTTAATTTTTTTTGTTTCTTTCACTATCCTTCAGTTTAACTTAAAAAAACGTATAAAATCCTCTTATTATTTTCCTGTCTGCAGAAGTTCTGAATATTACGTTGATGATTCTCTAAGAAACACTGCTGATGGTGGTTTGTTCCATAGAACTGGTGCTAGTTCAGGGAGTTATGATCCATCTTCTGGTTCACAGACAGAAGAGTTGAAGCCCGAGAACGCTGAGGTGGTGCACGGGAATCAGTATTCTTTTCCTTCTGCCAACGCTGGTTACAACTTTGATGATGCCCAACGCTTAAATGCTGCTTTGAGCCAAACAAACCCCCAGATGCAAAATCTAGCTCCATTTTCAAATGTTATGGTACAAACTTTCTGCCGTTTGTTTTTCGTTTAAGCAATATATTTTGTTTATGAGGTTTCCAATATATGAGATGAGGTATCCACAAAGACCGGACTTCCTAAGTTGGAAGTTCAATGTCCTTTCCTGCTTAGGGATTCAATATGTAACGATAAATTCTTATTTTGATGTCTGGATATTAGACATTGATAAATGACTTCTTTTGGGTATGAAATTATACCTGTGGTATATACTGTCTCTAGTTGTTCTGTTTATTAAGTATTTCCGTTTTTAATTGAAATTGCGTGAAATTAATGAATTTGAAGTTCTTTCTTGGATTTCTCAGTAGCTGATGGTTTTTTGTTAACAGCAGTCGTATACAAATTCCCTACCAAGCACCTTACCGTCTGTTAATGGTCACCCTAGTAGAGAATCAGATCTTCGATATTCTCAATTTCCAGTGGAGCAATCAGTGTCTGCTAAATACGGAAGCTCAGCAATTTCTATGTCTGAGGTACCCATTTAAACTTAAATGATGGAACTGAATTGAATATAATCATTTATTTCTGCAATTAATTTGTTCCGAAATAATGTGTTAATTGTAACTATTTTCAGGCTTTGAAAACTGCTGGTTACTCATCGACACAGCCAGCACCACAGACACTTTCTGGAGCTAGTGTTGCAACTGGACCACCTCTTCCTCAACACCTCGCTGTGCACCCATATTCTCAGCACACACTTCCTTTGGGCCCGTTCACAAACATGATTGGCTACCCTTTCTTGCCACAAAGCTACACATACGTGCCTTCTGCTTTTCAACAAACTTTCGCCGGTAACAGCACATACCATCAATCCCTAGCGGCACTGCTACCTCAGTACAAGAACAGCATCTCCGCCGGTAGTTTGCCTCAGTCCGCTGCTATACCTTCTGGTTACGGTGCTTTCGGAAACACCACAACAGTCCCCGGAAACTTCCAGATGAACCCACCTGCCGCCCCGACCGGTGCAACTCTGAGTTACGATGATGTTTTGAGTTCTCAGTACAAGGACAATAGCCACTTGGTCTCACTTCAGCAGGTATCTATTACACTTGTCTTAATTTTGTTTTAAATTTGGTTATGCTATCAGTGGACTTACGTATATTGCGTTTCTTGTTTCTTTCAGAATGAGAATTCGGCGATGTGGCTTCATGGGCCTAATTCAAGAACGATGTCAGCGGTGCCAGCTAGCACGTATTACAATTATCAGGGGCAAAGCCAGCAAGGCGGTGGATTCAGACAAGGTCAGCAGCCATCTCAGAACTATGGGGCATTAGGGTACCCGAATTTCTACCATTCTCAAACCGGTATGTCACTCGATCAGCAACAGCAGCAGCAGCAGCAGCAGCAGCAACAACAGCAGCAGAATGCAAGAGATGGTTCACTTGGAGGCGCACAAGGGCAGCCTAAGCAATCCCAAATCTGGCAGAATAACTACTAATCTTGTCACCTCCTGGCTTTTTTCAGGGTATGTAATGAGTATGAAGAAAGTGGCGCGCTCTTTTTTTTTTTTTTTTTTTTTTTTTTGTTCGTTTTCCTTTTTTTCACGAATGGGTTCGACTAGCCACTACCCTGTGCCGCGCCTCGAGGTTGTATTTTATGCATTTATTTTTTTCGTCAGTTGATGTAACTTAGGAACACAGGTTCTAATTTTGTGTTACTAGAGACTAAAAATTCTTCTTTCTTTTACCACTTTGGACTTTTGAATTTATTCCACAACTTCTAGATAAGCTTGTTCTGTCAGCTTAATTTAAGTAGATTGTTAGGTGTTTGTTTGTCCTTCACTTGGAATCTTTTTTTATCATCTTAATTATCAGTCGAAATTTGGAATTATTTTATCAGCTAGTAGCTGTTGATGTAGTAGATTGTGTACAAATTGCAGGTTCTTGATGTGGATTACTGGTTTTCAGTTGCAGCTTTGTTATGTATCTGTTACATGTGTCTTAATTCAAAGAAGACAGTCTGAAAGAAAGCATTCAATATTATGTGCTTATATTAAAAGCAGAAGGGCTTGTGTGCGCAAAATTCAAACTAGAGGGGCTCATGTGCATTATATTGAAAGTACAATAGGGTTATGTACACAAAACTCAAGCTACAGAGGGGTTAAGTGCTATTTAAGTAAAAATGACAAGATTCTACTTATTTGTAAAATAAATATTATTTTAACAATTACTTCTTTTTGTTGCTGATAATTTTAATTATAATTTTACTATTTTATCTTAAAAAATAATAAGTTGATGTTTGCAGATGATTATTTAAAAGTAGAAGTTAGTAATTGTGAGTTAAGTTAGTTTTAAGTGATAATTTCTAAAAGTTGAGAGTGTTTGCAAATATCTCAAAAAATGAACTTAAATAAAAAAAACAGGGTTATAGGTGCTTTTAAAAAAATAGCTTAAAACAAATTATTTTAAGAGAAGTAAAAGCAAAAGTTGATTTTACAAACACCTGGAAATAAAATAGATTATGAGAAGAAAAAAAGCTCATAATCACTTTCAAAAAGCTTTTGCAAACACGATCTTAAAAAAATTATAAGTCTCTAAAAGTGATTATATGAAACTTTTAAATAATCTATACTCTACAGTGCCACTGCCGCTGTGCTTTAGCGGTGACGACTCTCCGCAATTTCCCTCTCTCCCTTTGCCATCAGAACGACGAAAAAGCTCTGATAATTACGGTAATTCTCTGAGGTTTCAATTTGTTTTCACGATTTTCATTTTGCTAAAAGATGCGAAAAAATTGAGGAAGATAGATAGATGACGTTTGCAAAACGAAATGAGTAAGAGAAAATGACGCATGCAATTTCAATCACCCACTGAGGTTGTTTCTCGAGATTCCATAATTGTTGCGTTTGGAAATTTAATTCTTCGTTTTAGCTAATTTCAAGTTAGATATAGCTTTATTCTGTTCATGCCTTTCGTATTATTGAAGTTATTTGAGTATATTGTGGGTGGTTTACTTTAAGCATATTGATTGAAGTTTCGCATCTAGTGTTAGTGGTCATTTATCTCAGATCTGTAATACTGGCTTTTGGAGAGGCGTTTGAATTTTGAAGAAAGTACTCACTCATTTCTTTTGAAACTTTTGCTTTGTTTTATGTGTTATGAAACGAAGTAAAAAAGGAGGCAGATAGATTCATTAGGGCACATAAGGTAGTTCAAATAATTTGGAAGAAATTTATGATCATCGTTATATTGAACATATGGTTTGTAGAATTTTAGGTTTTGGTTCTCGGGGTTGATGTTGTTCACCAAGTTACGTAGCACCTTAATGAAGTTTAGACTCTTAAAGGGATCAGAAGAAGTGAACGATTGGTATCGTAAGTCCCAAAATTGTTTTGGCCATTTTCCGTATTAAGCTTAATTTTTTTCAACATACCTCATTGGTCAATTTGTTTGTTGCTGTTTTCTGATAAATGTTCCTAGTAGGAATTGGATTCATAGGAGGTAAATCTTTTGGTTCAGTTTCTAAATTATGTATTGTTTTAACTGCCTAATTCTTTAATAGTCGGCAGGAACTTGGACTTGATGACATATGAAGCTAAGCCTCAAAAGATTTTTGCTGGAGGAACTGCCTTGATATAGATGCTCGAGAGGAACATAGCGAAGCACATTCATTCAATTTGACAAACATGTCTATGCCAAATGCTTCCCTCATCTTTTTTCCCCTGAAGGGTCACCATCAGTCGGAAACATTTTGCATCCTGTGAAAGTTGCAGTTTGAACCACATGAAGGATAGCATGACTGGCGTAACCGGGGAATCTTTATCTCAAAACAACAGACCACAGAAGCTTGACAACCATAGAGGCTTCTGCAACAAGGATATCATTCCAGGGAGTCAATTATGGACGGATGGACTTATTTGCGCATTTGAATTCATCCGAGTGCATAAAAAGTTAGCTGCATCAAAATCTTCTTCAAATATCCGGTCATCTCATCAAGTCGATGGTGTTAATGTAAAGAATCAAAACTCCGATGGAGGTACACAGCCAACTTCTCAAAAATTAAACCGGAACACACTTCTGGAATCTGCACCCCTTATTGAATTGGAGAATCAACACGCTGCCTATTTGAACATGGATGGCCAGACCTCTCAATCAGACAACTTCCATCACATTGAAAGATGTGGAGGGAGTCATTGGGCTCCAATTGGATGGGATAGGATTTCAGAACTTGTCCGAACGGTGCAAGTTGATGAAGGATGGGCCACTCAACACTTTGAATTTATGAATGATGAGGATGACCTCACTGTTGCTGATGTAGCTGCTCCATACTGGGAAAGGCCAGCTGGGCCTACATGGTGGTGCCATCTTGCTGCAGGTCATCCTGCTGTCGAGACATGGCTCAGTTCTGCCCAGTGGTTGCATCCTGCCATCAGAATGGCTTTACGAGATGAAAGCAGATTGATAAGCGATCGGATGAAACATCTCTTATATGAGGTAGAGTTTGTGTCTAATGTATCCAATTTTCTTGCTTCAGCGATTGTCGAGGAAACGACTTGATGAACCTAATATATTTCCATCAATATATTGCATGCCTGTGATAAAAAAATCACTTAATTTATGATAGCTTGAGCAAAAGGGTTAAAATGGAACTCTACTGTTACAGCGTGTCAAGTTATACTTGTGTGCTGTTTCTTTTTCCCCTCCCTCACTCTGCATGACGTAGAAGAAATCACGATCTCTTAGAAAAGATATTTGCGCTTAGCGTTCTGCACCTTTTTCCATGCTTTATCTGTGTACAGGTCCCTGTGAGGGTCGCCGGAGGTTTACTGTTTGAGCTTCTGGGACAGTCTGCTGGCGATCCTTATGTTGAAGAAGATGACATCCCTGTTGTTCTTCGTTCATGGCAAGCTCAGAACTTTCTTTTAACTGTTCTGCATGTGAAGGGATCTGCCTCAACGATCAATGTGTTGGGCATTACGGAAGTCCAGGTTTTCTATATCCTAATAGATCATTTTCAGTGGCTAACATGCTTTTTGCAAAACTAAGTTGTGGTTGATTCTGCATATGTTTTGTTGACATCAATTACACTTCACCGTCTAGGAATTTCTTCTCGGTGGTGGTTACAATACCCCAAGGACAGTACAAGAAATCATAGCAAATTTAGCTTGCCGCCTGGCCCGTTGGGATGACAGGTGAGATATGTACAACTCAAGAAAGGAATTGTGGTAATTTAATCATATCTTGTTCATTTTGAAGCTTGAGCAATATTAAGCAAGTACCAGGTGGATCCATAATCCACTCCTAAATGATATTTCAGTGAAAATATTTATGCAATTGGCTTTAATTCAATGTTTTAATTACTATAAGGTTATTTCGGAAATCCATTTTTGGGGCAGCAGATGAAGTGGAATTGAAGTTCGTGAACAGGTATTAAATGCATTAGTCATCTTTTGATTTTGTGATGTTCTCTTTCTCTCTTCATGTTTTCATAACTCTCAACAGGAGGAACCATGAAGACTTAAATCTTCTTGGTGTCATTCTCAACCAAGAAATCAGAAGGTTATCAAGACAGGTATGCTTCTGCTATGGAGGTTCTTTAAGTTTAAGTTTTGGAATCACTTATAAGTTATATCATGGTAATTGCTCATTTTAATCTGGTCAATTGATGCCTTGACAAACTATAGGTTATTAGAGTAAAATGGTCTCTCCATGCGAGGGAAGAGATAGTTTTTGAACTTCTCCAGCATTTGAGGGGAAATCTAACAAAAAGTCTGCTGGAAGGAATACGAAAGAGTACTAGAGAAATGATTGAAGAGCAAGAAGCAGTTCGTGGCCGCTTATTTACCATTCAAGATGTCATGCAAAGCACAACCCGCGCATGGTTGCAGGTTACATTTAATTGTTTTCTGATGACTCGGACTCGATCATGTCAACTATCGAATATATGCTTTTCTCTTCATAACAATTTACTCTCTAAATTAAACAATTCGTAAAGCTTCCCAGTGTTTTGAAGAGTGAATCACATCATTCTAAGATTGGATTTTCTGATCAACATTTGAATTTACGTATATTTTGCTGTGTTTTTCTTCATCTGATGGAAATAACAACGCAATTTACAGGATAGAAGCCTTACAGTGACTCATAATTTAGCTGTGTTTGGAGGATGCGGCCTCGTTCTTTCCATTATCACTGGGCTGTTTGGAATAAACGTGGATGGAATACCTGGCTCAGAAAGCACGCCATATGCATTCGCCCTATTTGCAGGACTCCTCTTTTTCTTAGGTATAGTGCTAATTGCAGTAGGGTTGATATACCTCGGGTTGAAAAAGCCCGTGAAGGAAGAGCAAGTCGAAGTGAGGAAGTTGGAACTGAACGAGTTGGTCAAGATGTTCCAGCACGAGGCGGAAACTCATGCCCAGGTTCATAAGCACGTCGCTCGGAATAATTTGCCCCCGACAGCTGGCGATAGGTTCTCGGAAGATGCTGCAGACTATGTTCTTATTCGTTGACGTTACGGTAGTGATATAATGCAGTCTGTGCTTAATAACTTAGTTGTTGTTTTCCGTCTATATTGCTAGATATTGTTAAATTTCACAGCGAGATTAGTAAAAATGAGACTCGGAACAGTCTATGAGATGCTACATCTGGCGGAATACACCGATGATTTTGCACCATATATAAATCTACATAAATAACTACCAATTAAGCGCACACTTACATGTAGATTAATGGTCCGTCCAAAATTACACGGTGTACGACACGGTTTTATCTATCCTACACCCGGTGAAGGTTACACCGGGTGATTTTTTACCGTTGATCTACACATACCAATGTGGGTGTGTGTGTGTTTGTGTGTATATGAATGGTAAAGATCTACCCGGTGTATTTCACCCGGTGTAGGATCTCAAAAGCCGTACGACACAGGGTGTAGCATCTATGAAACCGAATTAGTACCGAAACCAGATTTCGATGCAAGAATCAAGGGATTGTACTTAAAAAACACATTCGAAGAAAATCAATTATTTTTAGAAGTAAAATATCGATTTCGATTCTGAAAATTTTACAAATCTTATCCCGATTTAAAAAATAAGGGGGAAGAAAGAGAAAAAAAAAAGCACCGGCCCATATCAGGCCCAAATAATAGGTCAGCGATTGAAGTATTGGATTAACGCAAACCCTCGTTACATTGAACCGGATTAATCTCTCCTTGAGAATTAGAGGGTTTTTTGGATTCTGAAAAAAAGAAAAAAAAAAAAAAAAAAAAAAAAATATGGCTTATGATGATGGGGAGGTGATTCAAGAAAAACCACCGTCAAACACCTGCTGCACTGCGGTAATTTTATCATTAGACTGTATTGTTGAATTAACGGGGAGTAACGGTATTTTATATGGGATGAAGTAACGGCGTTTAATTTTTTTGGATTGTTGCAGTTAAAGAAGAAGAACGCTAAGCTTTTGCACAAGATCTCAAGGCTGGAAGAAATTAAAAGCCAGTTTCGTGAATTCACAGCATTGCTAAAGAAAAAAAACCAATTCCTTCAGAGAGAAAATCAGAGTCTCAAAGAAGGTAGAATTGCTGCCGTTCGATACCGTTTCGGAATCGTCGTAATAAATAAATAATAGTATATTAAAAATGATTTTACTGATGAGAAAAAAATGATTTTGATCTCTCCAGGAGTGGAGGAACAACTGCAAGTACAGGCCGACGAGATTAAGCAGCTGAAGGAGCTTCTGAACGAGCGGCGGATTCGACGAAAGTGAATGCCGAGTTCGAACACAAGTAAATCAAGTATTTTATTTTTCGAAACAAACTATTAAAAGTTGTTTTTTTTTTATGAATCCTACGAAATAATCTATGCTTGATATTTGTTTTCAGTTGGTGCAATATTCGTTATGTGAGTCATCGCCTCGTAGCATTTTGCCAAAACAAATTTAAACAAGCTGTTGAAAACAAACACGATACTATATTTGCTTGCAATAAAGTTATATCTGGGAATCAACAACACAAGCTTCTATAACGTTTTGTTACATCGACGAATCTTGCACGGAGCCTCTCTTTCACTATCAACTTTTAAAAAATACTAGAGTTTGGTTTTGCTTGCGTTTAAATAGGTTTTCTAGATTTTCCTAAAAACCGAAACGAGAAAACTTGCTTTTTTCTACTTAGTATAACGATCCAACAACTTACCTCGTCCTGAAGATATATGATGCTGCCTCTTTTCCACGTAGAAATCGCCCAGGAAAAGTAAATACATGTTTGTTCGATTTGTTTGCGCAAATCACAGTGTGAAAGTTTTCAACCCTGCACCCATTTTACGGGGGCACATACCTGCAAAGCAAGTGAATATGATCTCATAATCAGGAAGTGGTGAAAGGAAAATTTCGGAAAAAAAGGAAGAGGTTATGCAAATTGGAGATAAAAAGTTGAGTTAAGCTGAAAACGGAGCAATCCCACGTGTGTTTGTTTCCATATGTTTTTAGGTGTTGTGTCTGTAAATAACCACGAGATCCTTGTTTGTTTCGATTCCTCACTAAACCTTCCTAGTTTGTAAATTAGAATATCAAGAACTTGTATACACGATTTCTATATTCTATATCCTCATACTAGATTCTATTAAAAAGGGGATTTCTTGCAAATCCCTTATGTCGAAGAGATGAATCGGAACTTCGCAAGTGAAACCTCATCACTGCAGATTCTAAATTTTCAAGAATCTAATCATTCGACTCATCAAAGAAATCAACACACAAGGCAAAAATCTTCAGCATGGTAACATTATTTTCGCCATTTTAGATGCATAAATTCGTCACACTCTACAAACGAACTCCTATATTTCCAACACTACCCTTAGCTCGATCCATCAAGTACTAATGCCCTATGTTCAGTTTATTACCAAATCCTAAACTCAGAACTCATGTAATAAGACAAGTGAATTATGCTCACATTACACCAAAAAAACTACCGAACACCTCGATTTTCTGATGCATCGGAAATTACCTCAATTTAGAGTCTTATTTAGTCAACGGCTTCTGCAAAAGGGCGGTCAAATAAACCTCGCCATTCTTCACCCCACTCGAATCAGTCTTATTCGCCACAGCCCATTTCACCTTCTTGTACCCAAGCTTCCCAATCAAGGGAGTAAACACTTTTTCAAGATCCATTTTTTTACTGAAAAAATGGTCCAACAGCAAGTAACCGCCACCTCTCAGCACTCTATCGACATCAAACAGCAAGAACTCCATCGCAACAACCGGTATCCACCTGTTAACCGCGTGCCCGCACCGCACGAGATCCACCACCCCGTCGAACACAGGCAGCCTCTGCTGCAGCGGGGCGTGGAGGGGCACCAATCCCCTGATCGCCACCGCTTCGTTATACGGCGCACCGAGATTCATCGTGGTGGTGACAACGGTCACATTGTGCAGCTTCATATGCGCCGCGAAAGTGCCGGTCCCACCTCCGATGTCGAGAGCAAGCCTGATTACGCTCTTGGCCTGTTTAGCCAGCTGCATAAGCTGCGAAATCGGGAGATCCAGATCCGATTTGTAGGTTAAAAATCGGGTCTTTTCGATTCTCATGTCGAATCCCATTTCGGGTTTCAAACCGGCGAAGCAGGAGAAAGTCTTGCAGCTGAAATGGGTTAGCAGAGCGGTTTTTTCGGGGAGGGGTGAAAAAGGGTCGGTGGGTAGTGAGGTGGGGGTGGTGGAGGGGGTTCTTGAAAAGCAGCGGCGACGGGGGAGGGGGTGGCAGCCCCTGAGGATGAGATCTTCAGCTAAGGGGGAGTCGTTGGGGCAGAGGGAGAAGGGGGTGTAGTTCATGTACTTGTGGAGGAGGAGTGGGTTGTCTTTGCAGGATGAGGCTATGGGGGAGATGTGGGTGTAGATGAGGAGATCGGAGGGGGGAGTGGTGGCGGCGGCGGCGGAGGAGGAGGAGGAGGGTGGGGTGTTGGTGGATGATTGGAGGGAGGTGAGGTGGGTGATGGTGGCGCGTATGGTGGAGAGCTGGTGGATGAGGTGGTCGGGGATGGGAGGAGGGGAGGAGGGTTTGGATTGGATGGTGGTGGAGAGGTGGTAGAGAGAGAGAATGTTGGTGGCCACCATGGCCATCAGGAGGAGAAGGTTTAGTCCCATGGTGAAACCCATTCTTGATTTTCTTGATCTAAATTCTTTCTGCTGCTGCTGCTGCTGTTATTAATTAAGGAGGAGAGTGGTAGTGTAGTTTGATGGTAGTGAAGTACAACTATGAAATAATGAATGATGTGAACATAATTATTGTGATGTCTGAATCTTTAGTGTTAAATGTTAATAATTATAATAATAATTAATACTATAATTAATAATATAGTATTATTGTATAGGGTGTCTGTAAGGTTGACTGCTGAGAGTGGTACATGTTCTTGTTTTCTGGAATCTAGATTTACAAGTTGCTGTAGTTAAATAAAAATAAAAATAAAAATAAAATATGTTTTATTTTTTTGGTACTTTGTAAATGGTCAATTTCTTTTTCTGTTCAGGGTGAGTTAATTGAAGAGGTTGTTTAGACTTTAGAGTTGAGAAAGTTGAATTAAATTGAAAGGGATTAAGTACTGTCCAATTTATTTCTACATTTGTGTATTTATTATTAATTATGAAAGATGTTTTTTTTTTTGATGAATAAGAGAATTATGAAAGATGTTTGCTTTCCATCTTTTAATCACTTTTATAGTGATTTTTATCTATATTTACTAATGATCATTTAATATCTAAATTAAAACCAATTAGTATTTTTTCTTTTATTGATTTTCAGGGGAAACTAAAAAATAAAATCAAATGCGAACCAAAGAATAAAAATATTCAATTTGTGCATTTTCTTTTTTGGGTCAATTACCGACACCGTTGAGGTAATGTCGAATTACGAAAAAAAAATTCCTTCATGTTTGACCAATTACAACCACCCATCAACTATGAATCTTCTTATATATCCAATATCGTGTCAAATTCAAGATAATCTTCTACATTTCGTGGAATGTTCACTAGTTTGTACTCGTTTTGTACAAAAATACGGTATCGATGCACCACAATTTGATAGTTACAAGCCAAAAGAGACACATCTTATAATCATCTTGTTTCAAAATATGGAGCTCGAATGAGATAAAACGCGTATAAACTGGAGAATATCTCACCATAATCTAAAATATTCCACTAAATTTGACACCACAAGGATGGTCATGTAAGAAAATTCTTAGTTGATGGGGTTAGTTGTAATAACTCAAATATGAGGGATTTTGTTCGTAATTTAACCTTACATCAAGGGTTTTTTTTAATAATTTTCCCCTTTTTCTTTTAGGCCGGTATTCGGTAGACATTGATTTTGATTGGGCCGATCCATACAAACTTAGGCCAGAAAAGGGCCCAATATAATTTGCTAACCGACTTATTTTCCCTCCAGCTCATAAATCGCGTTTTGATTTGGTAAGTCGTTAAAAGCATCTTGTATGTAGAAAGCGCTATTGGAATTTTGAAAATTCCTCGCTTCATTTCTAGGGTTCTCGTTCATTGGGGGTTTGGAAGCCAAGGGTTTTAAATTATATTCGAACTGGCAAAACAAAATCGTTTCTAGTTCTTTGCCAAGTGTGTAGGTTACATCTATCATTCCTCCGATGTTTAATCATCATGTACTCGGACGATTTTCACCGCATTGACTGTTTTTGTTTCAAAGATTCAGAAATCGAGGGTTTTGTTGATTCTGAAAAATGGCGGAGGATGTGGAGGCGGTTCAAGAAAAGCCCCCAAACACCTGCTGCGCTGCGGTAACTTTATCTCGGAGCTGTTCTTTTTTTTTTTTAATTAATATAGTTGTGTAATGCGATGGTTTTTAGTTTTTTTTTATGGGATTTAAGTAACGGTGTTACTTTGTGATTTCTTGCAGCTGAAGAAGCAGCACTCTAAGCTTTTGGAGAAGCATTCAAAGGTTGTAGAAATAAGAAACCAGTTGCGCGATGCTGTGCGATTGGTCAATAAAAATTACGATGTCAGCGAGAAAGAAAATGAGGGTCTCAGAAAAGGTAGATGGTGGCATTTTATTGCATTTGTTTCTGATATCTTTGATTTATAATAAGTTTTATGGATAATGATGTTAGAAATAGATTATTGAAGTGTAATGCTAGAGTGTCGCGGAAAAAAGAAAAATCATAACGATAATAATAATCGAAGGAACAGGCATGTTGATTTCTTATTTAATGTTATTACTGATGAAAAAAAAATGTTTTTTTCCCTCCAGCATTGGAGGAACTCAAAGTGCAGGCCAATGTATGGAAGGATGAGAAGCAAAGAGAATGTGGTCGCTGTGCGGATCTTGAGGACGAGGTATCTGCCCTAAATGACGAGGTTCGGTTGTTGAAGCAAAATGGCAACACTGCTTCTCAAGCAGCAGATAACCAAATACAAGAACATCTGAATGCAGCACAGAAAGAGATTAAGCAGCTGAAGGAGCTCCTTGGTAAAGAGAGGGGACAAACAGCTTTGGAGAAAAAGAATGCTGAGTTGCAGAAGAAGAGAGCTGATGAGGCTTTGAAGAAGGTAGAGATGGAGAAAAAGAACGCTGAGTTGGAGAAGAAGAAAGCCGATGAGGCTTTAAAGAAGCTAGAGATGGAAAAAAAGAATGCTGAGTTGGAGAAGAAGAAAGCCGATGAGGCTTTAAAGAAGGTAGAGATGGTAAAAAAGCATGCTGAGCTGGAGAAGAAAAAAGCCAATGAGGGTTTGAAGAAGGTCGAGATGGAGAAAAAGAATGTCAGTGAAGCACAAAAAGTTGCTAATGTTGAAAGAAAAAAGGCAGAGGAGAAGTGGGAAAAATTAAAATTGGAATTTGATTCGTTAAAGTCAAATTTGGCTTCGGATAAATCGAAATGTGAAGATGCGGAAAAGAAACTGGAGGTCGAGAAACAGAAAGTCAGTAGAGAAAGAAAAAGGGCAGATCTGGCTGTGACCAAATTTGAAGAGCAGCGGAGACTTGCAGAAACAAATTTGAGTAAGGCCATGATAGAGAAGGAACGAGCTGATGATCTGAGTCGAAAGTTGGAAGAGGCTAGGAATAGGATGAAAAAATTAGAAGGGTCGCATGAGAGTTCATGCAATGAAAAACTGGAAAAGATGCTCTTTGAGAAAGAGGCTGATATTATTAGGGAGAGAAAACGTGCAGATTCAAAGAAAAAGAAAGCAAAAGAACAGAAGAAAGTTGCAGAAGCACACCAAAAAGCAGCCGCAGAACAGAAACATCGAGCTGATCAAATATCTAGAGAGTTGGAAAGTTACAAGCTGAGGTTAGAAGAATTACAGAAGAAGCAGGAATTTGTTTCATACAGAACATATGCCGACAATGCATCCCTAAGCAATAATGATGTTATTTCTGAAATTGGTACAGTTAAACTACTAAAGAAACAATTGAAGCTAGAAAAGATGGTTGTGAAGCATGCCCAGAAAGCATCAAAGGTGGAGGCTGTTCGTAACAAAATGCTACATCAGGAAATATTTAACCTAAAACAGGAGTGTCTTTCATTCCAACAGCGTCTAGATATGCTAGATAAGAGTTTCTTGCACGACAGTGAAGGTATACATAAGTTGGGAAAGGTTAGTTTCCTCTTCCTTTTTGATCTGCCTGAATGAGAAAATGTTGCTTATATGGTTATGTTTAGAAAGTTTTCATGCAATAGCTTCTGTATCTTATTTTATTTCTTATGCTCTTGTGCTGCCAGTTGTTTTATGTCTGGAATAGCCAAGGTGGCTGGTTGCGGTAGTTCTACCATGCATTTACAGATCCCGTTTCTGCATAATAACTATTCTTTTAAAGTTATAATTATCTTTCAAACTAATTATCTTTCAAACTGTTATTGATGTTTCCTTGTTTCTTCTGGCTAGCACCATACATAAATGCAAAGCAGTTGTCTTAGATGATTAACAATTTTTTCGGCCTATGGCATAAATTTTGTAGGTTGTAAGCTTGCAAAGACTCGAAACTTGATTGTTATGTATTTCGGAGACTTCAGTTGTATTAGAAAGTGTTGCATGAGTTACATGTCGATCAAGTAAAATAACGGTGCAGATGATAATATGGCAACTAAGCTGCCCTGGTAGAATTCAGTTACAGGGGAGGCGTGACATCTGAACATATTGGTCTTGAGAGTTCCCCATATTTAGTATGTATACCAAGAATAGAGCTAAGGAAATACAAGAATGATAATGTGAAATAATGGTGTGGCGAACCTGCAGAGATAGATAATTTTGGTTTCTTCCTGTTCAGTTGTTTAAGCATATCACTTGAAGTAGAACCTCTATCGACTGAAATCATAGGCTTTTCCTATTTTCAGTCTGTTAAACTTCCGTAAGTAATTTAAGAATTGCAGATATCATTTTAAGTGTCTTATTAATAAGGATCCTTTAGTCTTTCATAATTCAGAGAAACATGTGTGTGATCCACGGTTATAGATGATATATATAGATCGACAGATAGATGTAAATATAGTTTTTTGTTCATTATTGGACACTCGATCTTATATAAATTGATAATTATTGACTGGATAACGTTTCTTGGCAGATTGACAGTCGGATCTCCACAAGAGAAACTTTATTCTCAGATGGATATAACAGTCAAGTTATATCAGGTATCCATTCTAGACTGGGTCCTCCATACAGAGGTTCCAGCCAAAACATGTTACAGAATTCTGCAATATATTCCAGTTCAGCATCTTTTTCTGATCGACCCTTGGCGGGATCACAGGAAAGAGGTACTTTCTCTATCACAACATCAGCTGAGCTTGGGGAAGATGTATCAAACCTCGAACCAACTATACCAAGGTTGTCTGACAAGATGAAGACAAGGAGAAATGAGCATGATGCTGTAGCTAAAGCTGATAACAACAAGAGAAGTCCGATTAAAATCAATTCTGATGAAAGGAGAGTTGGCTACAGTGGGAGGAAAAGGATTCTTGATGCAGTTGAGTCCATTGAAAATCTGTATTCGAAGGGTGAGAAGTTACATCAAAGAGTATCAGAGGAACTTTCCGTGCTGAATAGTTTATTCAGTAGCCAAGAGGATGAACCTGTGAATCAGAATCTGAAAGATACTTCTTGCAGAAAGCTTGCTAGACCTTCCAAGAAGAGAAAGACATCCTCAGAGCAAATAATAACTGGTCATTATTTGCAAGATTCGCAGGAGCCAAAAAGCATTCTTGATCCAAAAATTGATCACTCTGATGCCTGTATGCGTGCTTCTCCTTCAAGATACGATGCACGGAAATCTGATTGGTGTTTTAAGGATGGTAAAACTCATTTATTTGGAAGCAACCAGTGCATTCCTCAGGATTTTGACTATATGAAGTTGCTAGATCTTGATAATGCTGATGATGAGAGCGCATTTCGTAGAGCTATTGATATGCCTCTGTCTCCGTTGCTGCCGGAGTTTGAATTTCATTGGGATAAGACACTTGAAGTAGATAATCATGCGATGCTGGTAGACCAAAGTTTCCAAGAAGAATTGCCGAATGTAAGTGATAATCTGGCTTCAGTATCTAGATTTCTTATTATTAATATGGAAAAGTATCCCACTAATTTAGTATTTAATTACCATGTTTCTTCAATATTGCAGACTAAGGAGAAGTTGGGAACGTCAGATGTGTCTGATTCTGGAAACAGGGAAAGCAATGTACCATGTCGAAGAGGAATTGTTTCTACACATGGTGTTTTTGTGAAGTATCTCGTTATACCTTCAGATAACAGAGACAATTCTAGCATTTTGAGGATCCTTCAGACAGTTGATAGTTGCACGCCACTATGTTTCTTCCTTCATCCAGCAGAAATATTCCTTCCAAATATTCTACACACTCTTCTGAAAGCTGAAGATCTTTCAATGAAGTAAGTTATTAGATAACAGTTCTTACTGCTTTTCTTATTTAAACATATATTTGTAATATCTGGCACTGTTATTCTTTTGTGTCATTGGAAAAGTAATCTGGACATTACCTTATGTGTCGGCTCCTATGTCGTGTGCTTTTTACACTCTCTATAGGAATATTGCACTTTGTAGAAATACATTTTATTCACCCAAGATTTTGGCCCCTTTAATTATTGGATATTCTTATATTTGCACTCACACATTCTCTTTTTAAGAAAAATTGTTAAACGTGCATGCAAATGGAACTACTGATGTTCTACATGACTACGTCTCAGTTCTTCTAGTTCATGCATGGCACTTTGTCAAGTTGAATGGTGCAGTATTTTGTGCAGTCATGTGTTCAGAATTCCATAAAGAAAAAAACTAATCGTATTTTTCTTTTTGTGGACTGTTCTGTAGGGAGAAGGTCTCCGTGTTTCTCTCTCTAATATTGCACGGAATTTCTGAGTTTGGAATGAAAAACTTGGCAAGTGTGTCAAGTGATAATTTTACCCATTCTCTGGATGCAGTGACTCTGCACATTCGCTCAGGTACGTAAATAATATTGTCTTCTTAAACTTCATCAGCTGTTATCGGCTCTATTTTTGTTCTATATGTTCATTAAGCAACCTTTTTTTTCTTCTTTTTGTGCAGCACTCTCTGATCCATATTTGAGGAAAATATTTATGGAGTCGTGTGAATTTGTCGAACTATTCGCTGTCATTGAAGATTTTTTTCTGCAGAGAAAGCTATTGGTCCGCGGTGATGTATATGCCGAGAGAGAAGCCCCTCTTGGTTCCAAAATAAACCTTGTTCTAAATGGTGATTCCATTACACTATCTGAAGTGTTGGCTTCGCCTGACCTATTGGTTGCTGGAGGAAGTCTTTTAGCTTCGTTATGTTCTGCGGTTGACCATATTGGTTTTGTTTGTGAGATATCGTGCAACATTATCTCGATCCAGAAACTCGATCCTGCAGTAATGTTAGCTGTTCTCCATGTTTTTGCCCACATATGTGGCCCTAAGTATTTTGCTCTTGAGCAGTATTCCTTAGCAATGACTGTAGTAAAGTCTGTGGTTATGTTTCTTGAGAAGCAGACTTTGCCGATCGATTCAACATCTTTTTCTCCATTGTCCAAAATTCGGTTGTGTAGCAGTAGCACCATTTGTCCGTTCTTAGAGGGTGCGGTTTCTGTGGAGGATGTCGCATTGCTTCTGCTAGAGAACCTCCATAAGTGCGAACAATCTCATGGGGAGAGAGCTGAAGAAGGTTCATATGATGAGAACTTTTGCGACTCGATCGATATTCTTTCGTTGGTTGAGATTCTTGCTTCATTCATGGTATGGCTTTCACTCTTATTAACTACGAAAATGTTTTTTCTGTTCCCAGTTTTTACGGTTTCTTGGCTTTGTTGAAATGACGTGTGAATGAAGTATAACGATCGATGAGTTAGATATCCATGATGAAATAGACCATTTAGATGTCCCAATGCACGACCAGTTCTTAGCTATCTATGTATGTGCTTAAGAGATTTTCTATTTCTCATTACCATTTTTTTTCTTTTGATCTTCTTACATGCAGGGATGGGGTTGGACATTTGACCACATGATAGGGCAAATTTGTGAATATTTGGAATCACATCTTATGGAGGGTTTCTCGGCAGCTATTTTCGTACTTCTTGGTCAACTTGGGAGGTAAATTTCCCCCACAATCATCCTCGTGCATATAAAAATGAAATGATAATGAATTCTTGGTGATATATTATTTATGATATCATTGCATTTAGATCCCAAGATCATAAAGCTCTATCCGAAAAAAGGAAAAGAAATTTAGGATAAATTATACTAATACATAGTTGTTGTTTGTGATTGCAGGCTCGGTGTTGGGGCTAGTGGATATGAGGATCCTGGAGTTACGAATCTAAGAGGACGCTTATCTACATTTGTATTGGAGACCACGTTTTCGAAACTGAACTTCTCCGTTCAATTTGCAATCATAACTTGTTTGCTTGGCCTCACTGCTATCAAATTTGAAGACATTATTGAAGGTAAAGTTGAAACTGCTTCCGTAACAAGTCAATCAATTCCTGCTAGTTTGGTAAGGGAGTGGTTTTCTCACTTGGGTCGTGAGCAACAATCGCAATTACTGCTTCATCAGGTAGCAAATGATTGCAGTTTTTCCGATTAGATCGATGCGCTCCCTAGTTCAACTTGAGCCAAAAAAAAAAAAAAAAAAAAAGAAAATTTTTGTAGAGCATTTTTGGGGACATGTAGGACTAATTTAAAACAATTGAGGCCACTGCAACTAAGTGCTAGGCTTTCTTTTCTGTAAATGTTTCTCTCTTTTTAAAGCTGAATGAGAGGCGTTTGGCTTCGTCGTTTAAAATGATTTTTGCTCGATAAGACATTTTGTTCAACGGGGTAAAACTGTGTTTCGGTGAAGGTTACTCGATTTTTGGCTTGAAATTGATCAGTTCTTGGCAGATAATCAAGATTAGTCAACTGTTATTTGGTATGTTTTATTTCCTTTTTTTATTGGTCACTCAATTTATTCAGTATGTGTGCATATCATATGACGTAGCTGAATGTCTCTATCTGCCATAATTGACTCGACCATGCACATTATTTATTAATTAATTAAAACAAAATTGGCCTCATTTATTATTGTGTGCCAGTTGCAAGTTGCTGTAGTGTTACTGAAATTGAAATTGACGGCAAGAGCCCAAAGTAGAAAACATTAAATAAGATTTTTGTAGTATTATATTTGGATTCGTTCGTAGGTATATTTTAGTATACTTTTTCTTAAATGAATAAAATATTATGCATTTGATCATTTAAAAAAAAACATATTAAAGTTTGAATTAATTTTTTAGTCAATTTAATAATATATGTGACACATGAATACAAAGATTTTGCTTGACTTGGGTCGCTTTCGAGGTGTCCTACTGAGTAATAAAATAACTTTTTTGCCTATTTTTATATTTTCATTTGAAAAAAGTAAACTCAAATTTAATATTAATGCAACACAATTATTATTAAAAGAAAAATGTGCTGAAAATTGCACAAAACGCCCCGGCGAAATTTCTCCCCCAGGGCCCCTATTCCTTGGTCCGACGAGAATTGATGGAGGAATGTAAATTATGGTAACTCAACAGCCCGTTAGGTAGCGGACTGGTGTCAGAAGGAACTGATGACACATTGCAATTATAATAGTGGTGAAGTGTAATTTATCCGTATATAGTTGGGTTCGAAAGTAATAAATACAATTTATGATGCCAATATTAAATATTTGTATAGGTATATATCAAAGTAATAAATATAATTTATTATAGAATTTGGAATATATACATTTAATGGAGTAATATTTTCCGGAAGAAAAGAATGGAAGCCATTTTTGTGTGATATGATATAGCCAAACAAGCCCTAACACATTCACTTGGTTCCTCGGTCCATCTTCAATTTCCCATCAACGCTTCCGTTCACTCCGTTTCTCCATAAAGTCTCTATACTATCGCTACTCTCTATTAATTACAATAAAACCACCGGAGATTCTTCTAATATTCCGGCCGCCGCACCACAAAAAAGAAAAAGAAAAAAAACGCCACCACCACCGGAGAATTTTGAAATATTCCGACAACTCCTCCGCCGCCGGGAGCCCCTAGCTTTCCGTATGGAGAAAGAACCACTCCTATCTTACATTAGCACCAGGAGAACGCAACCTACAACACCGCCGCCGCCGCCGCCGCCGTCGTTACTCTGCCCTCTACCGGAAGACGATGAAATCACCATTCCGCCGTTGCCCCTCACTCCTACGTCCAGAGAATTCAAAGACATGCTTATCTTCGGCTCCCCTTCAGCTTCATCTTCCCATCTCAAAGATTCCTCCTCTACCCTTCTGGATGCCCTAACCCTATCCCTTTCGTCCCCCAAATTTTCAACACCCCATTTTGAAAACAACGAAAGGTTCAATTTCGATCAGCAAACTTCGAATTTCGATCCAGAAAACCAACAGTCATCATGGCTGATTGATCCCAATTACCCAGCCTGGAGGAGCAACCTTCACAGGTCCAAAACCGCACCCGCCATGGCTACGATAAACGAAATCGACCACTTCTCGGACCCGAAACCGCCCCAATTCGGTAAATCCGCAATTGTGAGGCAGGGTGTTATTCTCTTGATCATTTACTTGACTCTTGGCGTGGTTATATATTCTTTTAACAGGGATGATTTCAGAGCAACCCAAACGCACCCTGTGGTTGATGCTTTGTACTTTTGCATTGTGACTATGTGTACGATCGGGTACGGCGATATAACCCCCGATAGTACTGTAACGAAGTTGTTTTCGATCACATTTGTGCTTGTGGGGTTTGGTTTTGTGGATATCTTGTTAAGTGGGATGGTTAGTTATATGCTTGATTTGCAAGAATCGTATCTTTTGAAGACTATTAAGGGCAAGAGTGCTCATGACCCTGGATCGTATATAATTGATGTGAAGAAGGGTCGAATGAGGATTCGAATGAAAGTAGCATTGGCTTTGGGTGTAGTGGTTCTTTGTATTGGGGTTGGAGTTGCTGTTATGCATTTTGTGGAGAGGCTCGATTGGTTGGATTCGTTTTATCTGTCGGTTATGTCTGTTACAACTGTTGGATATGGTGACAGGGCGTTTAATTCTATGACCGGTCGGATTTTTGCGTCGATTTGGTTGCTTGTGTCGACACTTGCTGTGGCTAGAGCCTTCCTTTACTTGGCGGAGGCGAGAGTGGACAAGCGGCATAGGAGGATGGTAAAGTGGGTGCTCGGCCAAGATATGACTGTGGCTCAGTTTCTAGCGGCGGATATTGACAACAATGGTTTTGTGACGTAAGCTCTCTTTATCTTTGCTCGTTTTAATCCGGTTATTGTTCCAGGTTAATGTTTTTTTTTTCTAATAGTTACTTGTCAAGGTTTCTGATTCTTCTAATAGTTGTTGTACAAGATAGCTTACTGGGGCAAAATTCTGCAGTTCTATCCTAATATCTTTGTTTGTGATTAAAAAAAATAAAAAATAATAATTCTTCAAAAAAGAGGTCTGCATGTCGGAATATTGGAATGTAACTTAAGACTAGGTAGCAGATAGTAAATAATGATAATTTTTGCATTGGCTTTAATTCTCGGGAATTCTAAATGAGGCAATTCCAAAAAAAGGCTAGATTGGATTTCTTGTTTTAGTATAGGACTGGTAGCATAACTATGCGTGACTATCAATATTATGATTTCATCTGTCGAAGAACATTAGTTGCCAAACTATCTGTTGAAGAACGCTAGTTTTATGTTTTTCGATATGAGATATTGAAAGTTGGTAGCCTTACTTCATAAACTTAGGTCTTGGTAATGCCATGAAGTTCTTGATAACATATATTTATATTGGAGAAGATCTTTCTGTTTTCAAATTCAACTGAACTGTACTTAAAAATGTTGTCTGAAAGCTATATGCATTTAAGGACGGGTTAAGTAAATTGTTGACTGCACTTGGCAGGTTGTCATTACGTTTTTCCATGCAACTTGATACATCCATGTAAAATCCTGGTGTTCCGTAAAATGTTTCTGCTGCACAGGTTGTCAGGATAGTCAAGACTCTCCAAGCCCTCTACTCTTACCGAACTGTTATTTAAACAAACACCAAACAAATTCATCGAACGACAATAAAATCATCTGGTTTTACCGAATCTATAATATCTACCCCTGCAGAACGAGTGTTCGAAAGAACTACAATACTTAAGACAGCGAAATATCTTTGGTAAACAGTCAGAATCACCCTAAGATAGATTTCATAACCGACAGAGGAAAAGTTCATAAACAAAGTATTGGAGAAGTAGACACAGCTTATGTTTCTTCTTAGTATTTCTTCGACATTTTTTTCCTTTTTTTTTTTTTTTTTTGTGCTTTTCTGAATTTATGTTGATATATTGCAGTAAATCAGAATATGTAGTATACAAGCTAAAGGAGATGGGCAAAGTATCAGAGACAGATATCTTGCAGATATGTAAACAGTTTGAACGGTTGGATGCTGGCAACTGTGGCAAGATCTCTCTCACCGATCTTATGGAAAATCATCATTGATTTCATACAATCGGTTTTTCATTACTAAAATTGCCTCTTTGTAAGTACACGATAAGGGGCACGAGGTGTTATAATAGACAGTTGAAAAATCGAGCCAAGAACGATGCATTGCATCTTGTACAATCTCGGAACAAAGCTTTATAGCTCATCTTTGTGACCGTTGAGGCTGTCGTAATAGTTTCTAACCAGGTGAGTTTTTTTTGATTGGTCAGATATTTCATATCAGCATGGAGGTTTTATTTAGTTAAAGGCCTTTCTTTTTTTTTTTTCTTTTGTTGACAAAATTGTATATTGTTTTTAATTGATTTAAAATTTTGTCATAAGATTGTAAATTAATTAAAGATCTTGTCATACATATATGGATGTGTTCACTATGTACCATACATATTGATGAGGTGAAAGGATCTTTCAATGACCTTGACTTGTGAACAAAAGAGCAAAATATTGACTACAAAAAATGGGATTAATTAATTAAAACTATTTTATTTGATTAAATTAATTAATAAGAAATTATGAGAGAAAATTGCGGCACGACCCTGTCAACCCCTCCGACTTGCATCAATTATTTCATGGAGTGTAGTATCTACAAAACCGTTTTTATCTTATTAACAAGGGACTATTAGTGAGAACCCCCTCTAACATTATTTTAATAAGGATGGGTCCAACTCCTTTTTCTTTATTAGAGCAACTTCAATGGAGGCACTAAATGAGGTATCAAATTAAAAAACTACCATTTTGATGCTCTAAAATTAAAAAATCCTTCTCCAATGGAGGCATTAAATGGAGGTGCAAAAATACTCCCTGGAAAATGAGGTATCAAAAATATAACCACTCTATTAACCTATCACAATTTGACACGTGGCATTTAAAAAAATAATTATTCATATATTTAAAATTTGATAATCTATTTGATACTCGTGGTTGGAGTGAATTTTTTTTCAAGAAGTATCAAAGTATTATATCAAGTATCAAATGAATATTTAATGCTCCATTTTGATATCTCCCATTGGAGTTGCTCTTAGTGAGAAACCCATTTTTTTTTATTCTCAAATTTACCCTCCCACTATTCACTACCCATTATCCACTAGTTTGATATTTTTTTTATTTTTTATATTTTAATTTTAATTTTCGTTTTTTTATTTATTTCTTCTTTAAAAAATAATATTTTAAAAAAAAAACTTTATTTTTTTTATTTTTTTTTAATATTTTTCTTTAAATATTCTTAGTCTATATTATTTTAGTTTTCAGTTAAAACAACTATATGCCGATAAAACGACTATTATTAAAACGACTATTATTAAAACAATGATACATCAGTTTCACAATTTATTAAATTAATTATATATTATGTTATTTCCATTGTAAGATTAACTAATTATTTAATCATAACATCTCCAAAACAACTATTTGTTAAAACAACTATTTAGTCAAACCAACTAAAAAGTAATGAAAACAGTATATTGTTGTGCAAAAACAACTATATTGCTATACGAAAATAACTATATTGAATCAACTACAAATTATTGAAATCCACAAAAGCAAAAGCAAAAAAAAACACCAAAAATACCAACAAAAACGACTATTATTGAAACCAACTACAACCGTAACGAAAACAACTATATCTTTTTGAGTAACACGAACACAATTTCAACAAACCAGCCTCCCAAACAATACCTACTCCTCGAGGTCAATCTATTCCATTACAACGGTGGTGGAGGCGGTCTTCCGACGAAGATTCCAGGAATGCTTCCAAAAATCGAAAGAACAAAAAAAAATAAAAAAAAATACCAGCAGATCTGCTCATCCCTCGGAAAGGAAGGGGGGGAAACCGGAAGGCCGCCGTCCGTCCTAAATTCGGCGGCGGCGCCTTGTCGTTGTCGAGATCTGGAGCCGGCTTCGTCCTCTCCTTGCCCCACATCTGTCGGATTCCCAATTCGAGAAAGAAGAGAAAGGGGTCTTCCTTGTCGTTGTTGAGATGTAGCGCTGCCTTCGTCATGAATTCACCGCCGCCGCCATCGAGCCGAGTGAGTTTCGATTCCAGAAAAGAAGAGAAGAGATGATGGGAATTTGAGAACGGCAATTTGAAAAATTAAGGATAATATAGGTATACCACTTAATAATTATATTAATATTAATTTAATTAAATAATTAAGGGGGTTCTCAATGATAATGAAAATGAGGGTATATCCACATTGATATAAGTAAATGAATTGGGGTTTTTTTACTAATTATCCCTATTAACAATAACTGAAATGTTAAATGTCGTTTCAATTTTACTAATACCGTTTTGACTTTGAGTCATATTTTGAATTTTAATACCTCAATACATCAAAGTTGTGGGCAATATCCATTGATTCATGTATATCTTTCTCGTTCGACATCCAATTTTGGTGATTCAAGTTGGATTAGAAAAGTTGAAAACTAACTCAGAATACTACAATTTCATTTTTCGGGTTTTGCAAAATTTGGAATTAAAAATGATCAAAATCACGTTTGAAGTCGAAACGGTATTATTAAAGCTAGAACGCACATTTATCACTTTTATGTATGGTCCATAAAATACTCTATTATTATTATTATTATTATTATTATTATTATTATTATTAAAATTAAAATTGTTATTATTATTAAAGTACCAAATTGTTTATTTAGTTGAATCCAAAGTAGTCTTGAGCTAAGTCAACATGGAGAAAAATCAGAGGTTGGTCAAGAATGTTGGGACTCGTGATGGAATCAAAACTACAATACCTTTTCACATTGCAAGAACCTCAATTCAGTATTTAATAGAAAATTACAAAGAATAAATATTTGTCCAATTATTTTATTTATGCGATAGGTGTAAAATAAATTAAGAAAGAAAAAGGGTTTAAAAGTAAAATTGGGAATTTTGACTGATTCAAAACATTCCAAGTGGAGTAGATAGATGGCAAATAATAATTTTGGGACTGTTGGCCTAAGAGGCTTTCTAGGTCAATGAAAACCAAATCAAATTACAGGTCAACGTCGGTAAAATAATACTATTGATACTAGTAAAATATTACATTATCGAGCTAAGAATTTACTCATTTAGTATATTACATAGAGTCGATACAAAAGAAATTATTATTTAAGCGAGATTATTAATTTATCAAATATTAATTTATCAAGTTTCTACTGTATTATTATTATTATTATTATTATTATTATTATTATTATTATTATTATTATTATTATTATTATTATTATTATTATTATTATTATTATTATTATTATTATTATTATTATTATTATTATTATTATTATTATTATTATTATTATTATTATTATTTGAGATTTGTTTAATTATTTTTTTAGGATGAACGTTTAGTCTCCCTAATTCGTTCCATTTATTTAATTTACTTTTGAATTATCATCATAATAAATTTGAACAATTTCGTGTATATTTCGGCATTGTTTTTTCTTCAAGAAAAATGTAAATAGATCATAAAATAATTGTTTTGATTTGGTCAACAATATTTTAGAAAAAAATTAAACAAATCGTTATCACCTGCAAATTGGAGCATTTGGATTGATCATGAACCTGACATGTTGTATCTTTTTTCGCAAATTAATTGGTTTCGCGTTTGCACTTATTTTTCGTTTGCTACGAAGTTCGGCTTGAACTCGAGTCTGATTAAAAAAGAAACGGTAAAACATACATAAAAGAATCAAGATACTCAATCTCGATTAGTGTTGTCTTGATTATAAAGCTCGTTTGGATTCAATTCAGTTGTTTATCAAACAAAGCTCAAATACGTACGTCTTTTAAAAGTTCGAATTAAACAATAAAATCAAATCGTCTCTTCTCCAATAATTATGTCCCATTACAAAATGGACAAAAGCATGTTTGGTAAGAAAGAAAGTTAGCTAAATTTGGTAGTTGCCAATCACTTTACATCAAACGACGGATCAGAACGTCTATATTTTTATTTTATTTTCGTTATTATAATTTGGTCGAATAAAATATGAACATCTATAAATAATATATATATATAAACAAAATACAAAGGGACAAAGTCAAAATCAAAATTTCAGCGTAAATGAATTAACTAAAAAGACGTTGCCTAACCTTAGCCACATGCAAAAAAAGACCCTTTGGCTCAGACGGGCAAGAAGGCAGCTAGTCAACCAAGTAGCATATGCCACGTGGCTGTCAATGTCGACTACGGTCAAATGGCGGTGCACCAGTGGGGACACGTGTCCACCCCGAACCATGATTACTGGCCGCTCTATTATATATAGCGAATTTGATGACTGTTAACTAATGTTGGAACCGGACCGGTTCGACTGCGACCTGGAAATAAAGCAGCCCGGTCTGACACAGGGTCGTTCCTGAGATTTTGGGGGCCCTAGGCGAGATTTGAAGACGGATAAAAATGGGGCCCCTTCTACAATCTGCAATAAAACTTTTTTTTTATAAAAGGTGATAAACTCTATTTTAACTCGATTTTGTAAGGTACATAGCCAGTGGCACGGTTAAAAATTTGTGATATAGTAGGATTAAAGTTTACGGGGGTTCGGGGGCAGCGCCCCCGATTTTTTTAAGGATAATTTGCATGAAGTAGCACTAAAACAAGTAAATATATATAAAAGTAAATAACTAATACATTACAAATTTAATAATTAGTGGTCTCTCATGATTAGAGGAATTCTAAAAACAAGTAAAAATCGTTGATAATAGCTATTTATGAATTAAAATTCTCAATAATTATATATATAATATATTTTTTTTCAATAAATGTTCATATATAAAGGGTATAAAAAAATTCGGGGGCCCTAAATTTTTGAAAAAATCCGGGGGCCCTAGGCGACCGCCTACTTCGCCTCCCCTCAGAACCGGCCCTGGTCTGACATTTAGAACCGGAAAAATCGGAAACTGGGATCAAATGACAAAATTCGGTTCAACAGGGTAAAATCTGAGAAGCGACGAGTCAGTCAAGGAACCCGATTTTTGAGCAAAACATCTCGAATCACCGCTGAGTTGGTTATTTGTTGCTAGATTTGAGCGAACCTCACAAACTTAGTAGTGGGTGGCCGGATCTAGTCATGAGTGGTCGAAGAATTGTCGGATACGATCATGAGTGATCAAATAGGGGTGGCCGATTGCCGGATTAGAAAAATAAAAGATGAAAAAAATATAGAGTATAAGCAATAAAATATAGTAAAAAGTGAGGTGGAGTAGATAAAAGTGAAAATAATAAGTGAGAGATTAAAAATATAAAGAAAATAATATTTTTAAAACATTCAAATTAATAAAATAATGGCATATTAAAAACAAATTAAAAACCCAGTTAAACCGTTTAAACCTTATAAACACATGACCCAAATAGTTGTCCGGTTTTATAGCCGATCCGTTTTTGAAAACATTGTTGTTAACCCACAAAACAAATAAAAACACAATCGTACGTTGACTTTTTTCTCTCTCAAAATACAGTTCAATTGTTATATTTATCAATATATGATATTAGGATAAAACATGCACGAAAGAATGCATCAAATAATACAGGAAGCATGTCTAATCCCCCCATTATATTTTAAATAATAAAAATGAAAAAAATAAAAAAAAGAAATAATTATTATTCAAAATGGGGCCCACTAAAAAGGTAAGATTATTCTGGTCAAATCTTAAATAAAAGACAGCAGCACCGCACAACAAACTTGTCAAACTAGCTCAATTTTCTTCTCCTCCTTTCTCCACTCTGTATGTATAACTACTTCTCTTTTCATCTCTCTTCTTTCTTTTTGCTCGTACATAATTTTTGATGTCTGAAGATTACACACAGTATTACTACCACCAACCATTTCACGGTGGCAACACCACCGCCACCACCTTTCACGATGATGATGATTCCACCAACTACTTCTCGTCGTCGGCTGATCATCATAATCGTCTTCAGCCTCCGCCGCCGCAGATGTTTGATCCTTCTTCGTCGTACCAAATGAGCTTTCCCGGGTTTTTTAACGGATCCAATTCTTCCGCCGATCAGAACTCATTTTCCGGTGCCTTCGCCGCGTCTTCCGATGCGGCGGCGGGAGGTGGTGGTGATCAAACCCCAGCAACTCCCAACTCTCCTATTTCCTCATCGTCAACAGAGGCGGCCGCCGCCACCGCCGCAGGTGAAGAAGATTCAAACAAGGGTAAGAAAGAAGATGCAGAAGACGCCACCTCCAAGAAAGAGTAATTTACAATTTTCTCCTTCTTTTTTCCAGTACTATACATATAAAATTATAATCATGACTGATATGTATGTATATATGTATATATATATATATATAAAGTGGTAAAGAAGAGAAGAAGAAGAAGAAGCAAAGAGAGGAGAGATTTGCGTTCATGACAAAGAGTGAGGTTGATCATCTCGAAGACGGTTACAGATGGAGAAAGTACGGACAGAAGGCTGTCAAGAACAGCTCTTTTCCCAGGTCTCTAAAATCTATGCTAGTTTAATTAATTAATTAATTAATGCTGATTATACAAATTAATTAAAGTAATAATTAATATAAATAAATGTTGCAGAAGCTACTACAGGTGCACAACCCAGAAATGCGGGGTGAAGAAACACGTGGAGCGATCCTTCCAAGACCCTTCGATCGTCATCACCACCTACGAAGGCCAACACAACCACCATCTGCCGGTAACTCTCCGTGGAAACATGTCCGCCGGAATATTCTCACCTCCGGCAGAAGCAATCAGTAATTATAATAATACCTTCATCCCTAATAATCATCATCAGATCTACGGCTATGGTTCGAGCAGTGACGTCAATAATCAACAACAACAACAACAAACATTTGTAAGCACACAAATTCAGCAATTCCACCAGTTTGACGACTACGGGGCACTCTTACAGGATATAATTCCTAAACATGAGCCCTGAAACCCTAGCGTTTCTTTTTATTTTTATTTTTAGTATTTCATTTTTTTTTATATATATAACCCTATATTTTATATATATATACAATAATTTTTGAGTTGTTATTATCTAATTTCCAGCGTTTAAATATTTCTATAAATTAATTATAATAATATATATGTACAGATTAGTGCTCATAAACAGTAATTTAACGATAATTAATATTCAGATCTAATTAGGGCATGATTCACATTGTGGTTAAGGAAAGCCCAATCGGGCCCAACTATAAAAAAGCCCAATCAGGCCCAACTATCCCTAGTTAGTTCATACTTCATATACTCGACGAAGGTTATAGTTGGTGGCATTTTAACGTTAATCTACACACATCAATTAATGTGGATGTGTGTGTGTGTGTGTGTGTGTTTGTGTGTACATGAATGAGAAAGATCTATTATATGTACTTCATCTGGTATAGCATCGTATAAACGTTTCCTTTCCAGTCTAATATTAAACGGAGTTTCGAAAAGAAAAAAAAAAATTATAAATTGTACGAATGTGAATGTAGAAGCTTCTAGAGATGAGATCAGCCATATATAGCTTAGCCAGTGTGATTTCTTTACTCTAAAAGTTGACTAAAAGTTCAAAGTGAACCACTTGCATGTCATAGTTAATATTTTTTAAAGTCAACTCTACCTAAATATATATGATATATCCCATCGACATACAATTATGTTTTTGTAAATTAATCAAGTGTGTACCATCGTAATTAATTTGATATTGACAACGCACCCCTTGGCAACGTAAGCAATGACATCATACATAATAGGGTAAATTAAAAAGAAAAATAAAAATAAAAAAACTCATTGAACTAACGCTAAATTAGGAAAATACCCTCGCATATCCTTATCCTTAATTACAAAAATATCCCCTACGGTTGTTTCCGGCGTACATCGACCCTCTAATGGTGTAACTTTTCACGGAATCTTTTTTATTGCGGTTAATATTTCTCAAAAAATATCAATTCTACCTTTGCAACCGTGGCATTTTTTATACTTTTTTTAAAGACAAAATTACCCTCAAATGGATAATGGTATATATACTAAAAAGTTGCGACGGTGTTATTAAAGAGGAAGTAAAAATTGCGTGTAAAGGTTCCCGGAGGATAATTTATGCCATTAAAAATAGTATAAAAAATGCCACGTCCGTATGGATAAAATCGACATTTTATGAAAAATATTACTTCGAATATAATGTCTCTTCATTTGTAGACTTCCAAAAAAAATGTTGCTTCATTTATACTCAAACAACCTAACAGAAAATCGGTTGAGTTAGGCAGAATAAAGAAAAAAATGTTGATATTAAATAGATTTAGGAAGAGAGTTGTTTACTTGTTGCGATCACTTTAAATTAAATGACTAATCAATAATCATGACTATACATATATATACATTTATATATCACAAGAAGCATATGTTTTTTATGCTTGAAGTTTAAATTGAACCACTATTGGACATTTTAAAACAATATACACACATGTTTATTTAATAATATCATAACGTTTCAATAATTTCTTTAATTGAAAATAATGTACAATTTATTATGTTCCCTAATATAGAATTTTTTTTATGTCATAATCCATTAATTAATTATCAGATTCTTAATTTGGTGTTACATTAGTATACATTCCAGAAAAATAAAATTAATTAATTAATTAATTATTAATTATAAGTAGAAAAAGAGGAAAAAGGAAAGAATAGATACAGAGGAAACCGAAACGGCAACTACCATTGACGGTTGGTCCTGAAAAAATAAAATTGACATCTGGACGGAAGTCTGTCTATTATCATTTCTTCAAGCAAACGACGACGTGACACACGCTTCACTCGCTGCTCCCCACTCTCCCCTCTCTTCAATTTGTTGCTTCAGATCTCTTTTCCTATTTCAATTTAGGGTTCCTAATTTCATATAAATCCCCTGCTTGTTCGTGCTCTTTCCGAAACACAGTGCATATATACGCTACATCGTCGCGCATTTCACTCGATCGATGAGAATTTTTTAGATTTGCGTGTTCGATCACTTGATTTTTTTTTTGATTTTTCAAATTTTCACATTGTGCGAAAGGAATGGCGGTGGATTCTGGACCTGTGACAGCTGGACAGGTGCGTTTTCGATGCGGTTGTGTTGTTTATGTACTGTTTGGCTTACTTCTTCACTGGCGGTGTTTGTGGGGATTTTTTTATGTGTGATTGGTGGAGTGAAATTTCGATGTAGATCTTCGCACTATGTGAAATTATTGATATTCTGTTTTAATTTCTCTACTGAAAAGGGGGGTTTTCTCTGGACTGAGACGCTTTTTATGTATATGCTATGGTGGTAGTTCGAATGAATTGTTTGCCGTTTAATTAATTGTTAAAAATTGATTGTGGTTACTTTCTCGAAACTATTTCAATTACTTAGTGCTTGACTTTGGTGGAACTAGGTAAATGTGATGTGTTGTTAAATTGGTATCTGTAATACGAAGAGATCTACGATTTCAAGTAGAAGAGTAAAATATCTTACTGATGGTGTTTGATAGTGTGATTTGCTCTTAGTGGCTCTGTAAGTTTACCATTATGCACTGGTACATTAACATTTTAGTAGGAGTAGCATTACGCTAGAAAACTTGCGTTGTTGAGGATAAGTTTTTTCTTAGGGAAATATTTGATGATCTTCATAATCTTATACTTATAATTTTAAACAACTTTAGAACGATGCTGTGAACTTTCTTACTATTTGATCTTATTAATCTTCGTAAGATGTGACTGGATTACTGGAAAATCATAAGTGTCCTTACTTGAAGTGAACTAGCAAATATTGTGTAGTGAAATGATAGACATATAATTTTATCACAGTTTTCCAAATTAATTAGCATGTCATCTGTTTTTAGAATGTTTTTTTTTTGCATATGAGGATTTTGGTAGATAGTTGCAGAATTAGACAATTGGATTGTCAGCATTATCAATTGGAATTGACCTCTGCTACAGAATAAGTAGGGCTCTAGCAAAACTTCAACCAATGTTGTTGTAGATTCGGTGTTTCAATTTGATATTTTTAAGATGGATCTGTTTCAAAATTTAAGCATTGCAAAAATAAGGTTGACTTTGTTCGACAATTGGTCACATTTTCATTTAGGATGTGATGTCTTATCTATTTTTTTGTTCAATCATTGAGCAACATGCTGATGTGGTGTCATCAGCATTTATGGGTTTGCTGTTTGATTATTGTTTATTACCATTCTTCCTCGTATTTGCTGATTGATATGGTTATTGCCTCCTTAAATCAATAATCAATTCATGCTCTGCTTGTAAATAAAACTTTATTTTATGATGCCCCAGGTGTCATTTTTGCTTGGAGTAATTCCAGTCATTGTGGCGTGGATATATTCTGAGTGGTTGGAATATAAAAAGTCATCATCCCATTCCAAAGTGTGAGCACTTTTTTGCTTCTCATATCACATCCTTATTTACATATACACCAGATAACGAAGTTTTACGGACATTGGCAAAATTCTGTTTCTGCTTGCTAAAAGCACTTGACATACATTAAATTAAAATAGAGAAGATTATTATTTTGTCTCGGATATCTTCTTACGCAATACAATTTGCTTCCCCGTGGTAACAGTCATTCAGATAACAATTTGGTTGAATTAGAAAGTGAAACAATCAAAGAAGATGAACGAACTGTGTTGATGGAAGGAGGCCTTACAAAATCTTTGTCTGCAAAGTTGCACAGTCCATCCATTAAGACAAACTTAATCAAGTCAGTCTGTTGTAAACTTGTAATATAATGTAATGGTATCTTTCTCGGGGTGCTTTTGATTAATTTTACAGAACATTTTACCAATTTTTTGGCACCATTGTCTAGGTTTGTGATGATGGATGACTCATTTTTGATGGAAAATCGACAACTTTTAAGGGCCATGTGAGTTCTTTGATCATATTGATTGCATTCATTTAAGTTGTCGACATTTTTTCCATGATATTTCAATCTTATGCAGGGCTGAATTTGGGGGAATTTTGTTCTATTTCTACTTATGTGACCGCACAAATTTTTTCGCAGATTCAACTAAGGTGCTCTTTCTTTATCAGTTATTTCAACTGTCAGAGTTTTGTGATTTTTCTTTATTATGTAGACAAACCTTGCAAACTGCTTTTGAACAAAACTCTGTATCTTAACTTTGAGAATTAATGTTATTTATTCGTTTTATCAACATAGATTGCTCTCATATATAACCATATTTTTAAAATGTACTCTGTCAAGCAAGTTCCGCCGGAGAGTAACATGACTATCATTCATACAAGAAACTCTAAAAGAAAAGCATTATTTCCTGTAGCATATAGCTTCCGGTCTACACAGAGACACTAGATCAAGTTATTTTTTTTATCAACTTCCAATTTTTCACTTTGTAAGTAACAACCAGTGTAGTTCAAATCAAATAGGGCCAATAATACCTTCTCACATACAGTAACTACTATCTTTTCATTTCATCATTTACTCTGTCTGCATATACCTAACTAATTTCCTTTTTTTTTTCTTTTCCTTGTCGGACAGAGCTACAACCGTGATCTGTTCCTTTTTCTGTACGCTCTCCTTATCATAACATCAGCAATGACTTCTTTCAAGAAACATAACGACAAGTCTGGATTTTCTGGGAAATCCATACTTTATCTTAACCGTCATCAGACTGAAGAGTGGAAAGGGTATATGCAGGCAAGTAATTTGGTCATAAACCATTTCTTGATTTTTCCATGCAACTTTGAATGATTGAATGGACTGGGTATTTCATGTGCAACATCTGGGTTTGATTCAATGCCCAAATGAATAAATGTTTCTGTCATCTTTTTCTGTTCTTTATGCTGAGTGGCGATCAGGATTTTTTTCTACATCTCTCTCTCTTTCTCCCACAAGTTTCTGATATTACCCTTTTTCTTCCATGTTTCCAATAGGTTCTGTTTCTGATGTATCATTACTTTGCTGCAACTGAGATGTACAACGCGATTCGTGTTTTCATCGCTGCATATGTTTGGATGACTGGTTTTGGAAACTTCTCTTATTATTACATCAGGAAAGATTTTAGTGTTGCTCGATTTGCTCAGGTGACAATGTAGAACATACAACTTCCATTTCCTTTTTATCGCTGAAGCAAGCGGTGCTTTGTTTTCCACCTTTTGGTTTCATAATGGAAATTTTAAGTTATATGTTATTCTCTATGCAGATGATGTGGAGGCTAAACTTTTTCGTTGCATTCTGTTGTATTGTTCTTAACAACGACTACATGCTATACTATATCTGCCCCATGCATACCCTCTTTACACTTATGGTGTATGGAGCCCTTGGTATAGGCCACACCTACAATGAGAAAAGATCAGTGATGGCTCTGAAAATATTTATGTGTTTTTTTGTGGTTATCTTGATATGGGAAATTCCTGGAGTATTCGAAATTTTATGGAGTCCTCTCACCTTTTTGTTAGGTGAGTGGCATCAATAACTTATGTTCTCAATGAAGCTTATTAATTTGATTAAATAAATTAATTTTCATGTTTGAACCTTAAAGACCTGATAATTGTTTGTCATAATGACAGGATACAGTGATCCTGCAAAACCGGATCTTCCACGGTTACATGAGTGGCATTTTAGATCTGGGCTCGATCGATATATCTGGATTATTGGGATGATCTTTGCCTATTTTCACCCCAATGTAATGTCTAGAATTAACCTTTATGCCTCTAGCCATGAACTTACAATTATCATCTGTTTTGGATTAAAGAAATTACAAAAAATTATCATATGGTTTTGTGACTGCAGGTTGAGAAGTGGCTGGAGAAATTGGAGGAAGCTGAGAGCAAGAGGAGACGAGTGATCAAAACATTTATCGTCACACTCTCTGTAATTGTGAGTCACGTAATTTGGTTGCGATTTTTCGTTCATATGATTCATGATTTTGTACTGAGATCATTCTTTTGATGGAAACTTTTGTCTGTTTTTAGGCTGGCTATCTATGGTATGAATATATATACACACTGGACAAAGTTTCGTATAACAAGCTTCATCCTTACACTTCGTGGATTCCCATAAGGTGTGTACTGATTTTTTTTATTGATTTCCGTTCCATTTTTATTTGGTTTAATGAAATTATTGTCTTTTTTTGGCAAGACTGCCATTCTATCTTGTGCCCTTGATGATTTTTTTCTTCAAGAGGTCCTCTAATTTGCTTCTCTTTTATGTATTATCTTTTTCAGTGTCTACATTTGCTTGCGAAATTTCAGTCAGCAGCTTCGGAATTTTTCTTTGACCCTTTTTGCGTAAGTTTTATACCTTTCATTTCTTACATGTTCTCACAGTTGAAATTGTTGGCTTTTGTGCTAGACTTATTTGTAAGTATTCCTGGTTGCTTGATCATATAATTGCTCTTTGTTACCAGGTGGCTTGGCAAAATTACGTTGGAGACTTACATTTCCCAGTTTCATATATGGCTGAGGTATGTAAGCTAACCTTTGAAATTTTTATCGTCACTTTTCACTATTGTTGATTCACTGCATACAAGTGACGCGCTTTATACAGTAACTAAATTTTCTACAAAAAAAAATAAAAATAAAAAAAATAAAAAAATTGTGGGCAACTCTTTCATACATGATGGAACTTTAATTCCATTTTCTGTTAATATACGCGCAGATCAAATGTGCCAAACGGACAGCCTAAGTGGCTGCTCTGTTTTATTCCGGATTATCCTATGCTCAACTTCATGCTCACAACTGCCGTTTACGTCTTGGTAAGTGAATCTTTCTTTTGCATGTAAAATTTGACTTTTTGAAAAACCAATTAATTGATGACCAATTGTTAAATGTTTCCGCAGATATCATATCGGCTTTTTGAGCTGACCAACACACTCAAGTCGGCTTTTATTCCGACAAGAGATGACAGGAAGCTATTTTACAATTTTGTTGCCGGAGCTGCAATCTCAGTGTGTTTATATTTTACATCATTCATTCTTCTTCAGGTCCTTCAATAATAAGTAAGCTCTTTATCCAATCATCTTTTCCATAATTACGAGGTTGATTGTTTAGTCCAATGACAACAGATCAATAAACAATTGGTTGGATGGATGTAATAAATGTACAGGGTGGTGAATTTGGATGCTGTTAGTCAAAAGTATACGGAAAAAAAGAACGTACATGGACATTCTAGAACTGGAAGTGGAAGCAGAGCATTTCAGACAATGCATCTTCAATTGCTGTTACTTGAATGTATAAAATACCCAGTTTTGCCCCTCAAGCTACACTAAATGAAAAAAGAAAAAAGAAAAACTGCAAGTATTTTGTAAGAAAGTCGATTCCACGGTTTTATACCTTTTTCTTTTAACTTTTTATATATATATATATATACTATATCCTCCCTTCTTTCACGGGGGGATTACGATGTTTTTAGGTGACACTATCTTCTGATTAAATGGTTGAGCAATTTCCATAGAGAAAATTTTCATTGGATTGATACAATCACTGCATCTGGTATACTGTGTATGTGTGTACATTATGTGGGAAGAATGAAAAAGTTCGAGCACGCAACGTTTATATCTTTGCCGTTCATCTACACACCAACATGGGTGTGAAAAAAATGGTGAAGATTTACCTGGTGTACTTCACCCGTGTGAATGTTATGATCAAATTTTCAATGATAAATCTGATTGGAAATCAGTTTCCATCTCTGTTATGTTATATCTTTGATTTGACTTTAGGCCAAAGGTGGTTCAAACTTGAAACATCCAATAATTGAAGGAAGGTAAAAGTATCAAGTTGATATCTTTGACCAGCTACTTCACTGAGTCGTATCTATATTTGTAGGGTAAATTACAAACACCCCCTGAGGTATGGTCAAATTACAAAAACCCCCCTCTCGTTTGGATAATTACATCTACCCCTCAACTATGATTTTTTTCTTACTCCTCCACTCTTATGGTGCCAAATTCAACATAATCATCTAGATTCCGTGAAATGTGCTCTAGTTTGTACTCGTTTTGTGTAAAACTACAGTTTTCGATGCACCACAAACTGATATATACAAGTTAAAAATCACATATTATGATCATCTTGCTTCATAATGTAGAGTTTGAATGGGATAAAATGGGTACAAAAGTGATAATATTCCATATAATCTCGAAGATTCCACTAAATTTGAGGAGTTGAGGGGGTGGTTGTAATTATCCAAACACGAGTGGTGTTTTTGTAATTTGACCATACCTCAGGGGGGTGTTTGTAATTTACCCATATTTATAAAATAAAATTATAAATTCTGAAAACGTTAAAAACAAATTTCAACAATTTATAAAATCAAAATTGTAAAGGATAAGAAGGTATTCAAAATGTTAGGTGGTATTCATAAATGCATTCAAAGCTCATATACTCCATTTCAACCCACATAATAGTATTGTTTTATTTGAATTTATTGTTTGTATTGAAACTTGTGGTTTTGCCTGCTTTCATAGTATGTTTGAATTCGTGACGCTGACTGATATCTAGTATGGTTATATATGCTGTATTTGTTTCTTTTTCCTGACAAAAGAATTATTAGTACTAACTATAATACACGTATACATTTGTTAACTCGTATAATAACTCGTATATATGTGCACTAGGTAAATCTTCATAGCTTGACAACCATACGAGAGACGTAACATTAGTGATACTAGCGGGAATGCCGAATACCAACAAACCAGCCGCTACAAAACTTGGACTATGAAAAATGATGAGCTATATATTTCAACTTTTAACGCATTAAAAGAAACCTGGAAAGTAACAAAATCCAATTACCGGGGACTGAGGATTAGGTTCCTTTTAAAAGCCTGATTTTGACATCTGCCATTTTCAGTCAAGTTGTCCACTATAAAGATATACATACATAAACAAATACAAAAACAAATACAAATACAAATACAAATACAGCCTCCTCTCTCAATAAATGCTGGAATTTACTTCTTTTAACTAACTCTACAGTGCCCTGCATTTTCCTGATTCAACTTTTCAAATCATTTTATTGATCGGCGCGCCATGGGAGAAGCTCAACATCTGCCGTCAGAAATCAACGGTAATAGTATACTACATGTGTTCTCTGTTTCATTGATTTGTTTATAAATCATGATTAACAATAATTCAAATAATAATAATAATAATAATTAACCAGGTCCAAAAACAGAAGCGGCGATATCCCCAAACAACAACACGACGTCGTCTTCTTCCTCGCCGAGTTTCATACAGTACAAATGGTGGATTCAAATGCTAATCTACGCCTTCTTCGTCATCGCCGGACAATCAGCCGGCACACTCCTCGGCAGATTATACTTCGACAAAGGCGGAAGCAGCAAATGGCTGGCCACGTTGGTACAAGTCGTCGGCTTCCCAGTTCTTCTCCCCTTTCAACTCCTGAATAAAAACAACCACATCACCACCGGAACAAGCACCACGCCGCCGCCTAAAAAACCTTTCCCCTACGCTCTCGTCGGATTCTACATAACCATCGGCGTTTTTCTCGCCGCGGATTGCATGTTGTACTCAATCGGACTCCAGTATCTCCCGGTGACCACTTATACCCTAATTTGCGCCACCCAATTAGGGTTCAACGCGGTCTTCTCTTTCTTCCTCAACAAACAGAAGTTCACTCCGTACATATTCAATTCCCTCGTTCTCCTCACCATTTCCTCTGTTCTCCTCGTCTTCCAAACCGACACCGGAGATTCCAACAAAGCGTCGAAAAGCAAGTTCACCATAGGCTTCCTGTGCACCCTCGCCGCCTCCGCAGGGTACGCTCTGATGCTCTCCCTAACGCAGCTCGCGTTTCAGAGGATCATAAAGAAGGAGACGCTTCGCGCCGTCGTCGATCTGACGGTGTACCAGAGCTTGGTCGCCACGTGTGCGATTCTGATTGGGCTGTTCGCGAGTGGGGATTGGGGGAAGCTGAGTGCAGAGATGGAGGGTTATAAATCAGGGCGCGTGTCCTACGTGATGAACCTGTTCTGGACGGCGGTTTCGTGGCAGGTTTTCAGCGTCGGCTGCACTGGTTTGATTTTCCAGGTCTCGTCGCTGTTTTCGAATGTGATTAGTATTTTAGGTTTACCGGTGGCGCCGGTTTTGGCGGTGATTTTTCTCCGGGATAAGCTCACCGGAGTGAAGGCGGTGGCGATGCTGCTGGCGATTTGGGGGTTTGTTTCTTATATGTATCAGCATTACATTGATGATTTGAAGATCAAGGAAGAAAATAAGAGATTTTGTGATGATGATGATGATGAACACGTTTCTGAAGTTGGTCTTGTAAACTGAAAGATGATAGCTAATATTAATTACGATAAATTACAATCACCTCCCTCAGGCAAAAAGTAATTACAAAAAAATCCTTATATTGTTTTATAAATGACATTTAGACCCTTGTAGTTTGTAAAATTCTTACATCCATCCCCATACAAATGGTTGTTAATGTAATAAATCTATAAATGTCATGGGATGGATGTAATTATAAAACAATAAGAGGTGTTCTTTCATATTTTTATTTTAATTTAATAATATTTTATATAATTACAAGTCGGGTCCGGGTCGGATTTCAAGCAAAGAATTTGTGACCCTAACTTTAGTAGTGCCCCGAAGCGACGTCGTTTGGTTAATGAAATATAAAACCTAGATTACTTTGTTGCTCTCATTTGGACGGCTGCTTCATTCCAAAATCAGAACAGCAAAGAAGAGAAGGGGTGGGGAAAATTTTGCAGCAGAGAAGAAACATAATCCAAATCTAATTCGCTGGTTATATTCTTTCGCTTCTTTTTTACTTTTTCTAGTATCAAATCTTCAAACCTCGTTTGTGAAGATTTTCCTTTTTATACTGTTTCTCAATAATTTTATCCTCGATTTGTAGAAAACCTAATGAACAACCGAATTAAACTTTTAATCTTAGGGAACTATGTATGTATCTGTATTATTTTAGTATTATTTTATTTTTCCCTTTCATGAACAGGAACTTGTGTGTGTGTGTGTGTGTGTGTGTGTGTGTGTGACTGACCTCTTTAATAATATCTATGTTTTATTTCAGCTGATTATACTTTTCATTTGCTAAATGAATGTTTGCTGTAATATTCCTTTTTTTCAGTATCAATGGAACACGGATCATTCAACGATCCTTCACAAGGGACGTTCTCGATGACGGATGAAGACCACACGCTAGCAAATTCAATAAGATTTACTCTTAATCAAGAGTGAGTTCTGCTAACCATTCTAGTATGTATTTATATTATTATATATATATACTGAATAAAATTTGAATACAGGCGAGGGTGATGTCATTGATCTGCGCTTCGTTATATCCATAATTTTAGTTGATTTACAAAAATAAAACATATTCCAGAACATATTTTTCATTGTCCTTTCCATTTAAGGTCTTTCATATTTAGGTTTTACGGAAAGTTCAATTTTGTGTGTTTGTCTCCTCTGTTTTTTAGTCTATTCGGGGATATGTGATGCTGGTATTTGTGTCCATATGAAGGTGAGCACAGTGTTTTTCAGTGGCAATACTTAGGTTGTCAGAAAGAGTATTTAAAATAGAATTTAGTGTTTGTTAATGTAGATCTGCCTTTCATGAATATCTTGTTTCGTAATAGTCTTTTGTTGAAAATTGATCATGTTTTTGGGAATCTGTTGGTTCATGAAGTTACTAATGAGGGAATATGAAATTTGTCTTGCAGTCCAAGAGTAACATTTTGTGGTTACAGCATACCACATCCTTCTGATGCTCGGGTCAACATAAGAATACAGACGACTGGTAAAATTTATTAATCCTTTTGTATTTTGGGTAAATAAAGGAAAAGACAAAAAAAAACCCGATTCTTATTTCGTATTTGCATCTAATTAATGCTGTACTTTTCAAATTGTTTCAAAATCAAGAAATCTTCTGGGAATGATTCTAAGAAAAGAAGTGAGACGTGTTCTCAATTGGGCTTGTAAAATTAGGTGTCTTCTAATTTGCTTCATTTGTTTAAAAAAATGATTCGTGTTGTATTATGCTGGTTGTAGGTGACCCAGCACGTGAGGTATTGAAAGATTCTTGCCAGGATCAAATGCTTGTATGCCAGCATGTTAGAAGCACCTTTGATCAAGCTGTAATGGAGTTCAAGAGCAAGAAAGCACTGAAATCCTTGGAATCCATGGACATTAAATCATAACAGACTTTTTTTTCTTTTTTTTTTTGTGATGAGAGAACTTATTTTTCGGGTGCCATGAGACAGTTTTATCAGTTAGTCAGTTATGCTATTAGAAAAACATTTCACAGTGTCATATTAAAGCTTGCCACCTGAATTAGTAAAAACACTTGTGTCATACATCTGAATTCATCAACACTTTATTAATTAGACAGTGATACTATGAGAATGTGGCAGGTCATGCTCAATGATCATAAATTTTCATCTTCGGAACTTCAAAGTTTTTCTATGGTGATTTTGCTCCGAGCATATGTAATGAACTTTGTTCTAAAAGAAAAAAAGAAAGAAGAAGACGAAGCTTTGTATAGTCAGGTCTGTATAGTCAGCTCTGCGAAGTGATGGCGAGTTAGCAAACTGTGTCCTCATTAAAAAAACCATTGCAATAAAAAGTGCACCACCTGAAAGAATGCCGCAAAAATGATAAGAATTACAAGTCTAAACACCATTTGCAAATGAGTTGTCATATGCAATGTCATGTACAACTATTAGTGAAATGAGTTGTCCGAACGGTAACATACATTTATTACAATGTCATATACAACTACTAATGAAATGAGTTGTACGGACGATGCATACATCTTTAAATTTGATACAAATTTAATGACATGCTTCATGAATTGAGCTTATGATTTCTCATCAAATTTGGTACAAATTTAATGACATGCTTCATGAATTGAGCTTATGATTTCTCTCATCAAATTTGGTACAAATTTAATGACATGCTTCATGCATTGAGCTTATGATTTATCTCATCGTTTTTAGCCGCTATATTGATCTCAAATAAAAGTACCTTCCCAAGTTCAATTGATAAGGAGCGGCAGCATAGTTGCAAAATTTTGATATTTATTGGTAAAAGGCAATAAAGGTGGATCAAAGTGCATAAACGGGACACTAGGAAGTACCTCACTGGAGGTCATTACATAAGACGACCAACGTAATTAGCTCGAGGATATTTGCTCTTCAGCTGTGGCCATTGCACAAATAATTGATCAACCATCCGTAGTTTGTATAGGAGCAATCCGCTCAATGATAGCCTCCTAACTCTAGCAATGCTCTCAACATAGAAGATGGATGACCACCTGATTCCAAATACCTGAAAGTTGCATTATAACTTGATCAGTAATTCCAATTTCCTACTCTCAAAGAAAAAGAAAAAACGTAATCGAAGTTTGCTTTTTGAAACTCATGCACCAAGTAATGCCCCTTAAGGATAATAAGGATTAACTGTCTAGCAGAGTTATACAGACCTTGAAAAAGAATGCAATTACACAAAGCGGGATACAAGTTCCAGGCCCGTTGCACAAAATCTGCATAGAGAAATACTAAATCAAGCAAACAAAGCAACTAAAAACTTAAAAAGGAGTATCAGCTCAGTGAAGTGAGAAATATCAAATACCACTTGAGGTCTGATCTTGATCATTAGCCACAAGGCATGGGTGAGAGCAACTAAAGTTGTGCCGACTGAAGTTACGTACGACTGTCCAACCTCACGACTACGGTAAATTTGCATGAACTGGGAAGTTCCTCCCAACTCAACCTGTGCCTAACAAAAAAATCCATTTACAAATCATCAGCAAATATAACGAGACATTTCAAGGATCTTCAAAATGTCTTAGAAGCCTAAATTTCTTTTTTTCTGATTTCCCATCAATTGCCACATGTGGACACTTTTCAAGTTCATAGCAAACCTTCTATTGTATCACTGACACAAACCTTCACATTTCACACCCGAACTATAAGTATACAAAAAAAGGAATATTTTCAAGACTTCCAGTCCGACAATCTGACTCGTGTTTCACTAAAAAAGCTGGTATGCCCGAGTCGGACGCAAAACGAACCATATACTTCCACAACATTAAGAGTTAAGCTATTTAGCTAAAGGTATTTCACCTTGTCCATTAGAGAATCTTCCAGCACACGAGCCTTCTGAAGGCTCATATTATCAGTTGCAGCAGCAATGTAGTATCTCGGCTTAAACCTATCCATCTGCATAACAGCCAGTAGGTTTATCATTTCTGCAGTGTGACCACCTGGATTATGATCAAACGATAAAATTAATATCAAGTAAACTTCACAGTTGGAACACAAAAATAAAATTCATTCCAATGTGAGAACACTCATCAGTCATCACGAATTCCATTTTCAGGCCCCGAAATATCGGATAAGAACAACAGATGAATCGAAGAATTAGCTCACCTGAACCCAAAACTATCAGGGTACTGAGAGGTCCTGGTGGTTTATTATACAGGGGTTTGCTGCTCCGGTGGATAACATAGATAATCCGGGCAATAATCCAGGTGGATATACCAATTATGAGCAGGATTGCAGCATTTAGGAATCCCACTTCCATCAGAAAAATCTTGTTCCAGTGATTAAGCGACTCCTACATTTCAAATTATACAACTCAATTCAAATTGTTCACAAAAAAAAAATAGAGAGAGAGAGATCTGTGGATTGAAGAAATAAAACTTACAGATTATGGAATTCTGAGCACAACTTGAAGCATTCAACTAGAAGGATGGAATACAAAATTTATTTTTCGCGAGGGTTTTGTGAAACATCTGAAAGCCAGATCTAATTGGCGCAGACGGCAGGGCTTTGGCAACGCGGCTAGGGCTGGGTTGCCGTCGTAGAATTGCGGCGGAGATGAGATGAAACAGATGATCGGAGAAGGAGAGGGGAAACAGGGTTTCTGGTTTGCGGGATGATTTATTTTTTACGTTTTATTATTATTATTATTTTTTTTATTTTTTTTTAGAGTAAAAAATAATTTCATTTCGTCAAATTAACTCATGACCAACAATATTTTGGACATTAATAGGTAAATAATCACCACAATATGACTCACATATAGAGAGTTTAGTTAGTGCATGTGCAACACGATTACCAGTCCTTCGTACATGTTGAGCTGAGAATGTCCCAAAAACCGCAGCAAGGACATGAATGTCGGCCACTAAAGTTCCATACGCTGACAATCGTCCTCAACTTCATTTATTGCCTTAATGACCAAGTTAGAGTCTCCTTCAATGACTATCCTTCTCCATGTTTGATCACGAGCGAATTCAACTGCAACGATAGCTGCTTTTGCTTCCGCCGAAGTAGGGTCGAGTGCTTGCCGGACACAAATAGACTTCCATCCCATACAAACCCCAGCATGATTTCGAGCAATGATTCCAAGTCCAATCTTTCCATCCTTCGAATTAATAGCCGCATCGAAATTGATCTTAATAAAACCCATTGGTGGTGGCTGCCATTTCACCTCCTCAATACAACTCGGGTTCCTAAGACTAAGTACTGTGGCAAAGGGATGACGAACTTGGTTTACAAAGTTTAGCGCAAAAGAAACAACGTCCATAGGTTCGACCGAATCGCCTTCAAAAAGGTTCTATTACGATAATACCAAAGTGCCCAACATATCACCACACAGTTCTCGAGGACTATACGATCTGCCGATTTTCGCATATGCATGAACCAATCCATCAATTCAAATCCATTCCACCTGTGTATTGACCATGGGATATTGCTCAAAGCCCATACTTGCCTTGCAAATGCACACGTAACCAAACAATGTCGAAGGTCTTCGACCTCTCCTCCGCATCGAACACAACTAACCTCCGCCGTTATCTTCCTCCTGCTCAAATTAGCTCGGGTGGGTAATAGATTTTTACATGCTCTCCACACAAATATTTTGATCTTATTAGGAAAATCCATCGACCACACCCATTTCCACGCGTTTGTTGTACCAGCGTACGAGTGGCTAGTAGAAGATATGCTGCCATCGACTTCGAAAAGGGTTGCTAAATAATATGCACTACGAACAGAGAACCGTCCGTTACGCTCGTAATGCCATACGAGCTTGTCTTCGTTGCAGGACTGACCTAACGGAATTGACAAAATAATCCTCGAATCATCTTCAAAGAAAAGTTGTCGAACCAGCTCTTCATTCCAATGATTTGCACCCTCTACCATCAGTTCTTTAACTCGCATATCCATCGGCAAATCTCCTCGAGGCGTAATTATTATTATTATTATTTTTTTTAATGCCTAAATAATAAATATTAAATTTTTAATGACTGTGTAACCCGGTTAATTTTACCCATTAATTTGACCACGCATATTTAGTATTTACAGTCAGTAAAATTCCCCTTCCAAAAGAGCAGAGGAGAGAGAAAGAAGAGAGAGAGAGAGGGGATTCGATGCCTCCCGAAACAAACAAGATAAATAAATCGTCTCTTTTTGTAACAAGAGTAAGCAGTTGTTGGTTCTAAGCAACCGTTTTGTCCTTTTCACAATTCACGCACACACTGAGGGTGTCACTGTGTGGAAATTGGATGGAGGCGACGCCGTCGACGTGGTTGCGCGGCCGTGGTTTGGTCGTCGGAGGCCTCAAATTTGGTCAAGTTATTGTACGGTTCTACCCTTCCCCTTCCCAGCGTTTGCACCCAGCTTCATGTAGAATACGACACCGTAACTTCAGGTTCTTATTACGATTTTATCTCTCTGCTTTTTTATTTTCTGTATCTTTGATTGGTTTATCTTATGCATTGGTTAAAATTGGATTCGGTGGTGACGCTAGTCGGACTGAATCACGTTCGGTTGGAATGCTGAAATTTCTTTGAGCTGAGAAATGTATTTGGTGTCTGTTTATGGTGGAAAATTAAATTGTTCGAGAATCAAGTTTCTTAAACTTTAAGATAGCATGCTTCATATTTTCGCTTCATTTTTATAGAGAATGCCATCACAGCATTATTGCAGCTTCCTGGGAAATAAGTTCTTTTCGTATTATTTTATTTTTCTCAAGATTTGAATTCGATAATTTATTGATAAGGAATGGCATTGTATTTAAAGAGGAATCGAAATTTGATGTAGAAACGTATTCAAAGATGTACTGACAACCGAGATTAATGGCTTATGAGATGCTCACAAAGAGATAATATAAACATTAATTCATCTGTAAATGGGCTAGAAGTCTGCTGGTCATCTTTCTGAATGTGATACCAATTCTGTAGGAACAAAACAACTCCTGCACAATTTTGTAGTATTTTTTCCCCCTTCTCTTTAATCCCTTTCCTACTGTTGCATCATGATGTATTTGAAACCTAAATATTTGCAGTTTGAACGCTAAGAGACAACCTGCAAAGAAAATCAATCTTGAGCGTACAACAAATAGAAAGTTCCAGTCAAGTGGTGATAACGACTCTGATCCAAGCAAGTTGTCTAAAGATAGTACTATAGACACAATTCAAGAGACAGCTTCCAATGAGCATGACCCCATCGTAATAGAAGCAGGACATGCAAACGGAAAGGATTACAACAATTCTTCTCCACCAAATGAAGTCATATCGTTGGACGATGACACTATTGAGTCTGCCAGGGAATCATCGTACTCAGATGAAAATGTGAGAATTATTTCCCATCAAATTATATTTCACAATGCTCCAAAACTTTGTTCCTCTCGGACTAACTCAGAGGATTAATCGAATCTTATACCAGAAATTATAGTCAAGTGTTACTATGTATGGTGTTCATTAGCCAGTTACATACTTAAGCTTTTCATATATGTTCTCATCAAATTTCAGCTTTATACACCTACATGAATTGAGTGGACAATGATATTTGATTTTTGTTGCATAAGTGTTTTTGAAAAAATGTTGGATATAGTTCTTATGTTGAATGCCTTCTTTGCGTGTAGCACCTTCAGCATGGTGTTTCACATAATTGGATGTTGTGAATCCATATAAGCAATATATGTTCTGCAGAAGGTTACTTTTGAAACGTGAGACATGTTAATCTTACGATTTTGCTGTTCAAGCATAATCAAGTTAATGCCAATTGTTTTACTAGTCATCAAGAGATAATAAAATCTTTATTGCCATCGTAAGTTTTTTGTTGTTTTTTGTGGGTCTCTCCTCGGTGACCTTTTATTCTTTGTTATGTAATGTCATTAAATGATGTAATTACCTGAGAACATGATTATCTATTCTTTTAAATAGTCCAGTGATATAGATGGAGGAGACCAACTTTCAGGCATTCACCTTGAAGATTTAGTTGGGATGATAAGACATGCAGAAAAGAGTAAGTTGTGTTTCATCTTGAGGAATCTGGGCATAAACTCTTCTTTTAATTGAAAACTGAGAAGGTGAATTTATCTTCTGCCACCTGAACGTTTCTTATCTTATATCTCTTCCTAATTGGATTACAGATATCCATCTTCTCAATCAAGCTCGTATACGTGCTCTTGAAGATCTTGAAAAAATTCTCAGCGAAAAAGAGGAGTTGCAGGGACAAATCAACACTTTGGAGATGAAACTGGCTGAAACTAATGAACGGCTCAAAGTGGTTGCACAAGAGAAGATACACGTGGAACTCCTGGAAGACCAGTTGGAAAAGCTGCGAAATGAATTGTCGAGTAGGGGTAGCAATGAGGAAAACACGCAAGACAAGAATAGTTCTGTTTCTTCTTCACAAATTGATCTTATCGATTCTTTTAGCCAAGAATTGGATTTGTTAAGGGCAGAGAATATGTCCCTGAAGGATGAGCTACAGGTTTTGAAAGCACAGCTTGGTAATATCAGGGAAACTGATCAACGTGTTCAAATGCTGGAGGAAGAACGGTTAACTATGGAATCTTCTTTAAAAGAGTTAGAGTTTAAACTCGCTGCTTCTCATGAAGATATTTCAAAAATTTCTAGTTTGAAATCTGAATGCAAAAGTTTATACGAGAAAGTAGAAGATTTGCAAACGCTCCTAGATAAGGCAACAAAACAGGCAGATCATGCTAGTCTGGTGCTGCAGGAAAACCAAGAAATCCAAAAGAAGGTTGACCGGCTTGAGGAATCTCTAAAAGAGGCCGATGTCTATAGATTGTCAACAGAGAAAATGCAACAGTATAATGAACTAATGCAACAGAAGATAAAACTTTTGGATGAGCGCCTGCAAAGATCTGATGAAGAGATACATTCATATGTTCAGTTATATCAAGACTCTATGAAGGAATTCCAAGACACAGTTGATAATTTAAAAGAAGAAAACAAGAAAAAGGAACAAGACACATCTGTTAATGATAAGCCTTGGGCATTTTGGAGCAACTTATTTCTTATTGTGGATGGTTGGGTTCTTGAAAAGAAGATTTCGGTGGATCAAGCTAAGCTGTTAAGAGAGATGATATGGAACAGGGATGAAGGTATATGTGATGCATATATATTGTCTAAAGAAAAGAACGAGCGTGAAATCATTGCGACATTTCTCAAATTGACATCCTCGACGACAGGGTAAGCGTAAAATGCAATGACTCTTCACTTCATACATAATCGACCCAGAATTTTGATTAGTACTTGCTCTCATTGTTTAGTGAAAGGTTACATGTGATACATATCGCTGCAGAGATGGCACCTGTTGCAAAGGTATGTACATACTATAAATTTAGAGTTTACCAACACAGGTATGCATTTGCTATAAATTTGGAGTTACTGGCAAATGTCTGTATATACTATAGATTTAGAGTTTAATGCTTCCATATTATTGAACTTAGGTGAATCCTAGTTATCTTGTGAATTGTGAGGTAGGATTCAACGATGAGAGGTTTGTCTTGTTCATCCGGGCCCCGCGTAGACGTAAGCCTTTTAAATTTGTTAATTTTTTCAATACTGGGCAAGAGCAATATATGCAGTAGAATGTGGTTTTCCGGACCAGAGGAGGAGTCTGGTGCTCTGGGACTTCAGGGGAATCCATTCGTTATGAGTTAGGGTACTATTTGTCTAAATGCAATGTTTCATTCCCAAAGATAGGAAGAAAAGACTTTAGAGTTAGGTAGTTCATTTTTATTTCATAAGCAACTTGTTCATTTGTTATATGCCTCCATTAACGAATAAAAATATTTCATTTGGCTTTCTCTAGATTAAAAAACTGAGAAGGTAATAGTTTCATGTTTAATCAAGAGAAGATAATGTATTTTACCTGCATAGATTATCTTGTTTACCACACATTGTTGGGAATGTAATATCTCAATATTTTAGTTTTTAATATACCCCCTCCTGATGGTGAAATTTGTGTTCCATATTACAGTGCCTTGGCATGTTTGAGTGTGTTTCTTCATATATTTCTGTATATATGATGCTTAAATCTTGGGATTGTGCAACAAAATTTGTTCATTTTACCAAAATAATCACATTTGCCAATACGTTTTAATGATGCTAATTTATGACTGAAGGATTTCTTTTATTTCAATTATGTTAGGTCGGTGGGTTGGGAGATGTGGTGACTGGTCTCAGCAAAGCACTTCAGAAGAAAGGGCACCTTGTGGAGATTATTCTACCGAAATATGACTGCATGCGTCATGAACTCGTTCGGGACTTAAAGGTATTTGCCATTTGATGGATGTGCTTTACTGTTTTGCCGTAGTTTTCTTTGACACGGTCTTTCATTCTCTGCAGCTTTTGGATGTGCCTGTTGAGTCATACTTTGATGGCCATTTGTTTAAAAACAAAATCTGGGTTGGCACTGTTGAAGGTTTTCAATTATTACATTTCCAATACCTATAAATATATTCTGCTTCTTTTATTGTGACTTCAATTCTAATAATTCGTTGGCTGCAAATTTTACCATTTAGGACTTCCTGTTTACTTCATTGAGCCTCAACATCCCAGTAGATTCTTCTCGAGGGGTCAATTTTATGGAGAGCGTGATGATTTTAAGCGGTTCTCATTCTTCAGCAGGGCAGCTCTTGAGTTACTTCTTCAAGCTGGCAAGAGACCAGACATAATTCATTGTCATGATTGGCAGACTGCCTTTGTTGTATGACTACTAGAATTCTTATCAATTTTCTTTCCCTTTACTACGGTATCTTCATATCATTTTCTTACTTCTGCTTTCCTTTTTTTTCTTGTTTCGGTAGGCACCACTTTATTGGGATCTGTATGTGGCAAAAGGACTGAATTCAGCCAGAATATGTTTTACGTGTCACAATTTCGAGTATCAAGGAGCTGCAACGGCTTCTGACCTAGAATCTTGTGGTCTTGATGTTTACCAGCTCAATAGACCTGATAGGATGCAGGACAACTCAGCAAAAGACAGGGTCAACCCGGTTAAGGTAAAAAAGTTCATCTAGTACTATGCCCTATGTGGAGCTGATTTCAATCACCTCATTTTCATTTCTTCTCTTCAGGGTGCAATAGTGTTCTCTAATATCGTGACAACAGTTTCACCTTCCTATGCCCAAGAAGTCCGGACTGCTCAGGTACAAATGTTAACAGTTATTTAGATTTTTCGGTGTTGCTTCTTTGTGTAGACTTGTCTTCTAGGGTTGACTTCTAGAGTTTTCTGTTTTAATTCTTCGACTTACTAATGCACTCAAGTCTGAGGCAGTTAGTTTATTTGGTGCACATCTATGTTATATTACAACAGACTCTTACTTGATCGAGAATGGCAAAGTTTTGAATTGGTATAAAATCTAAAATGGGTCTCCCATTTTGTCCATTGAAATTGATATGCATTCAGCAGTGTATTTCTGAAGTTCTATTGCCTGTCTGGAAAGTGTGATGGAATTCAAGAATTATAATTCATGTTCTATGTTCTATTGGTGCACATCTATGTTCTTTTTGACGAAGCTAAAATAAAACCAAATGCTATCATTCATGTGTGACACTCTGCAACGAACCTACCAAATTGGAGAATCACTTATGCTGCAAATTTGTAGGTCAAGTATGTAGTTTCCATTACAGAGAGCCGCATGAATATAACATAATAAAGTGACCAAGGATATTTTGAGAGTCAAAGAACCTGTAGGACTTGTTTTACCAAATTGTTTTTAAATGGATTTAATTGTTGTTTTATCCTGAGTAAGAAGTTTGAGTTTAGTAGGAAAACACACATATAAGTAGTTGATCGTAACCAGAATAATTTATTTAATGTTTTACTTATGATCATACAGGGAGGACAAGGCCTGCACGGAACACTTAATTCACATTCAAAGAAGTTTGTTGGGATTTTAAATGGAATTGATACTGATGCATGGAATCCAGCAACTGATCCACTTTTGGAAGTTCAGTATAATTCCAGTGACATTGAAGGCAAGGCAGAGAATAAAGAAGCTTTAAGAAGACAACTAGGGATTTCTTCAGCTGATCTCCGGCAACCATTGGTAAGTATAGTTTGAATTTGATGATTATCTTATTTCATCCATCTTACTTTAACTTTGTAGGTCATAAAATATATTCCACTGACTTGACGGTAACTTTTTTTATTTGTATCATGATTTACTCCCTTCGCTTGATTTCACGTAATGGAATCCTAATTACCACAAATCATTACTATATGGTGAATTTTTTGCATTTCATTTGTGAATTGTCAACAGTTAGCCATGCTGATATTCCATTTCTTTAAAGAATTCATCAGGAAGAACTACTGCAATCCGCATTTCCAGTTAATGTATTGGCTTGACCAAGATTCTTGGCAGATAACTAGTTCCTTAATATGTGAAACAGAGTATAACTGATGAATTGTGAAAGAGTGGCATATCTATGTTATTATAGTTGCAACTCAATTTTTGAAACAATACTTGTATTCAACTTTCAGTTTATTGTGTGCAGGTTGCTTGCATAACTAGACTGGTACCTCAAAAAGGTGTACATCTTATAAGGCATGCAATATATCGGACATTGGAGCTCGGTGGCCAGTTTGTCCTTCTTGGTTCAAGTCCAGTGCCACAAATTCAGGAAAGTTGTGTTTTCTCAATTTCGGCATTTTTTTTTCTTGGCATGGTTGGTCTGTTGGCTAAATGTGTAGCTTGATAAAGTTCCTCTTAATATATAGCGATATTTTTTAAATGTAATTGTTCCAAGGATGGATTACTGAAGAATTATAGGTACAGAGTATATCTATGATTTGGTGTTATTTATAAGTACACAATTATAAAGTCAAAGTTAACGGTTTGATTCAAGATCAACAGCGCCTCTTCTGGGATTTGAATTGCCAAACCTTTTTATTGAACGAATCATATCTTTTGACAAATGAAAGTTTTCTTTTTGCAGAGGGAGTTTGAAGATATTGAGAACCATTTTAGAACTCATGAGCATGCTCGATTACTACTGAAATACGACGAGTCTCTTGCCCACTTAATATATGCTGCCTCTGACATGTTTATCATCCCATCCATCTTTGAGCCTTGTGGCCTTACACAGGTAAAGTTCAGTTAGTTCCCTGTAACCTGGCAGTATGACTTGGCTGAAATTTATTTGTTTTTAACTCATGTCATATTGTAATGTATGCAGATGATTGCTATGAGATATGGTGCAATCCCAATAGTTAGGAAGACAGGTGGACTAAATGACAGGTTGAACTGCTGTCGGATGAATTTAAAATTACACTGCATAGATTATTTTGCTAGTACCTGCTTAATAATTAAGTTTGTAAATCCTCTTGCAGTGTTTTCGATGTAGATGATGATACTATACCTGTCCATTTCAGAAATGGATTTACGTTTTTGACAGCCGACGAGCAGGTAACTAATTTGTATGCTTGAGATTGATATTATATTTAATTATTCTTTTGCATTTGATATTAGACTAAAAAGGTGTACGTTCCAACAATTTCGAGATTACATCCCTGATTTTTCATGAATATACAGAGCTTCAGCAATGCATTAGAACGTGCATTTCACCATTATAAGCACGATGCTGATGGTTGGAAACAGCTTGTACAAAGAGACATGAGGATAGATTTTAGTTGGGACACTTCATCATTACTGTATGAAGAACTTTATGCAAAGTCGGTTGCCAGAGCAAGGGCTGCAAATCGTACCTGAGCACAGTTACGTTATAAAATGAAGAGAAACTAACCATCAGTCGTGATATTTGGGCGGCTGCTAAGGCTATGATGATCTCCAATTCTTTTTTGTTACAGTCGATCAATTTTCCTTGTAAATACAATATATGGGCAGGCATGAACTTTAATCTGTACATGGTGTAAATTGTGTACATGCCTTGTTCAAAATACATTGTACAAAAACATTCCTAAGAGATATACAAGCTTTATACTAAAGCTTCAGTAACGTGTTACTGAGACATAAACAAGAGATATGCTATCATTCTCATGATTCTGATTCCTCTTTGGAAACCAAAATACGTTCGGCAGTTTGTCGAAGGCAAACATAATGACTATGGCGAGCTCGATCAAATTGTTAAGAGGTGAATCAGAAACTTGGAAAACCCCAGAGTGATTCGAGATTTCCTAGTAGCGAAAAATGAGTATTCGAAAAGGTTTGTTTTTTGCTACTTATTTTTCTTTAAATAATTATGTATATACTTGTATCAGTCTTATATCTGCATCTTCAATCTTCCTCATTTATCTTAATTTGTGGGGGAATTCTGGACTTCACACTATTCTTGTTTCTGATATTTGACATAAATTACTGAAGTTGACATGAAAGTAGCAACAGAAAAAAAATGTTCAGAATAACATTATATTCAAGCAATTAAAACTTTACATCATCATTCAACAATCCGAATTTTAGTACAAACTTCACTTTCCGGGTACAAAGTTTGTGGCGAAGGCCCATGCATTGTTGTTAACGGGGTCGGCAAGATGGTCAGCAAGGTTCTCCAACGGACCCTTTCCGGTAACAATAGCCTGAACAAAGAATCCGAACATTGAGAACATTGCTAGTCTTCCATTCTTCAGCTCCTTCACCTTTAGCTCGGCAAAAGCTTCCGGATCCTCAGCAAGACCCAATGGGTCGAAGCTACCACCCGGGTAAAGTGGGTCGACAACTTCACCGAGGGGCCCACCGGCAATTCTGTAGCCCTCAATAGCTCCCATCAATACAACCTGGACACCCCATATGGCCAATATGCTCTGGGCGTGGACCAAGCTTGGGTTGCCCAAATAATCGAGCCCACCCTCACTGAAGATTTGTGATCCGGCCTTGAACCAAACCGCCTCACCGAATTTAACACCGTTGCGTGCCAAAAGCTCGGGGAAGACACATCCAAGAGCACCAAGCATGGCCCACCTGGAGTGGATCACTTCAAGTTCACGGTTCTTGGCGAATGTCTCGGGGTCGGCGGAAAGTCCGGCGGTGTCCCAGCCGTAGTCGCCGGGGAACTCACCGGTCAAGTAGCTAGGTGCCTCACCGGAGAATGGGCCCAAGTACTTGACACGGTCAGGGCCGTACCATGGGCTGCTGGATGCGGCGGGCTTGGGCTTGGCGGCGGTTTTCCTCATTGAGATCCTGCCGGAGCTGGTGAATTCGGGGGTGGACTTGACTGCCTGTCCGGCGAAAGATGGGGAAGATAGAGCCATTGAAGAGGCAGCCATTGTTGTAATTTCTCAAATGAAAGACTATATGTATTTGCAAGGTTGTTTGTTGAATGGATGATATTTTCCATGGCAGACATACTAAGGTATTTATATGGAGTGGCCGTTATCTCTTGATATCATTATCTGTATTCCTATTGGTAGGTGACATTTGGCAATCTTGACGTGGCATGTCCATTTTGGCAACGGCTATCAGCCTATCACTATGGAGGTTTTATCTATTCTACACCCGGTGAAGGTTACACCGGGTGATTTTTCACCGTTGATCTACACACACCAATGTGGGTGTGTGTGTGTTTGTGTGTATATTAATGGTAAAGATCTACCCGGTGTATTTCACCCGGTGTAGGATCTCAAAAGCCCACTATGGATATATGGGTATTTCCCATTGGCCTATAAGGTTTTGCCAAGTGTGCGGTTGGAGAGTTCTGCATGGATATTTCGCACGTGAGAAGCCAACGGCTACAGAAATGTGTTTGTCTTTCTTAAGGCAGGGATTATATAGAAGAAATGTTGTGAAAAGGTGATTAAATATAAGGTATAATTACTATAGTGTAAATAATAAAGGCTGCAGATATTTGCAAGACGAAAATTACTAAGTGCAAGACCTTACTTCATGCAAGACCAAAATATAAATAAATTTACTAAGATCAAGACTGAAAATTACAAATATAACCCCAATAATAATTTAGATATTATTAATTTAAATTAAGCTAATTGCTATTGCAAGACCAAAAAAAAAATACAAAAAAAAGAATAAAAAGAGAGGGAACGCACTCCCCCAACAAAACACCAACATCTTCTTCTTCACCCTCATTTTACACATTTTTTTCCACAAAAAAATCTTCCATATTCTCCAAAACCCTTATCACATAAAACCCTCAAATCTTACTAAGACTTTAAAAGAAGGACATTATGGATACACAAGACATAAATATGGAGGATTCTAAGGTCGAAGAACACAAAGAGGTAAGAAATATTGTACTTTGTGATCGTTTTTCTCGTTTTTCGCACCTCATTTCACGTACAAAAAATTCGACATGTACAGGTCGAAATATCCGCTTAATATCGACATAGTAGTGTCGCAAATTTCAACATAATTCGACACTCCTTAACTGTCGAATTATATTGAAATTTTCGACATTATGGTGTCGATATTAAGCGCATATTTCGACGCTGGTGTGTCGATTTTTTACTGTTACAATTGTGTAACCAAATTTCCGATTTTTCTTGCAGAGTTTTGTACCTAGCGCGTGTAGTGGAGCTAATGCATGTAGGGAATTAGCTTTGGATTATTCACATGAATTTACCACCCACGAGGAGTTTGCAACAAGGGACAATTTAGTCACATGGGTGCGCGAAGTTGGTATGCGACTAGGAATGATAATGTCAGTAAAGTCTTCAAATTTGGGAAACCCATCCAAATTTGAGTACGAGCTTAATTCAAGCAAAGATAGTTGTTCCCCAAAGGTAATTTTTTTGAAATTTTTAGCTCATAGTTCATTTTTTGGTTTCTCATTTAGTAATACGTGATATTGGTTAAACATTGTAGACTCCTATTTCTGGTATCCAAAAGCAACGTGAACAGCTTATGCCGCAGCCGATCACTGTATCGATGGTAACCGACATCTTCAATCGAAGCACCGGTAAATCGACGGTGTTGGAAAAACTACCGGTAATATATGCGTAAAAATATATCAGTACAATATCGACACCAGCGTGTCGAAAAAAACAACAATTTTCGACGCTCTAGCATCGAAATATGTCACATTTTTCGACATCAACATGTCAATATTTATCATAATTTTCGACATCAATATGTCGATATTTCGCTGTAATTTTGTTTCTCATTCTGTATTACTAATTTAACCTTCTTATGTGCAGGTTCGAAAAAAAACTACCAAGTATATATATATTAAACAAATACATCTGAAGTTCCGAAGATATGTTGGAGATATAATAAATGTTGCGTCAGATGGTCATTGTGGATTTCGGGCGGTTGCATCAATGATGGGCTTTGGGGAAGATAATTGGAGTCTAGTACGAAGAGATTTGGTCGATGAGCTCATTATGAATGATGCTATCTACATGAATATCCACAAAGTTCGAGATACGCTTGATGAATTGGAAGCAAAAATGAGGTGTTCGGTTACACCTGCCCCTTATGAAAATTGGATGTCGTTTCCGGATATGGGTCATTTTATTGCTTCTAAATATGACATTGTGCTCGTACTGATAACGCAGCTGCAGTGTCTTACATTTCTCCCACTCTCTAGTGACCCCATCGTGTAACTAACGGTCCCTCAATCTCGCCGGACCTAACCGTCGGTGTGAGACGGGGGAAATGCTCGTAAATCCAACCCTGAAGAAACGTCAAATATCCACTGATTTGCTTCGTATTAGCCCTTGAAGCATCCGACAACGCCTCATAGAGCAGACACAAACAAGCTGTACCCCATGCGTAAGTCCCAATATTTTCCAAATCTTCTAACAAACACAACAACTGCAGTGTACCCATATTCCCCGTCTTGTCCTGGAATATCGTACATGACAATACGTACAACAAAAATGCCCTTGTCGCACACGTCTTTTTATTCTCATCATCAATATCTGTCACAGAACTGAAAGTACTACGCAACCACTCCAACTTAAGCGCCTTCTGATTTTGACCCCAACATTTATCCGTCGATTCAAGCACTACTCCGAGAATTCGATTTACGATTGCTTGTGACGATGGCCCCGTCTTACTAATTTGTTGAATAAATACCGGCCGTCCCACCACTGGCAAACCTATCAAGCTGCTGACATCGTCTAGCGTGATAGTCATCTCCCCAAATGGTAAATGAAACGTACAAGTTGCTGGTTGCCACCGCTCTATGAAAGTCAACACCAATGCACTATCTATCACCTTGTACGAATGACGTACAAGGGGCATCAAACCGGACCTCTCGACAACCTCGGTCATAAAAGGAGCCATCCGCCACTTCTCCAACATTGTTGTGTGATTATGAACCCTCACACTTTCGCGCTCCTACAATTTTAATAAAAATAAACATTCAATCAATAAAGTAAATAACTTCAATAACATATGTATATGTGTGTCTATAAGTGTAAAAGTACCTTTCCGGACAAAATCTGTCGGGCGATATGATTCTCAAACTGCGGCATCAAGTCTGGTATTTGTGGTCCTCTGGGGCCAGCCGATTGGCTACTAGATCCACCAACTTCGGTGGTCGATGTGAGCGGTGGATCCTCAAGTATGGACAATGAAGGCTCAACATCGGTAGGTAAATGTGTACGATTGGCCGGAGGATCGACCCGAGTAGCTTGAGAATCGCCACGTCGAACTTTACGATTGACCAATGCTTTTCTCTTGCGCTGAGAAGCAGTTTGGGGAATACGCGGTTCCACTGGAAAAATATAAATATAATATTAATCATTTATATAAAAAAAAAAAAAAAGTTTGCAAAAAAATCAGTTTACCAGTCAATTTTCGACATCATAGTGTCGATATTTGTACACAAAATCGACATAACTCTGTGTCGAAAATTGTATACAAATTCGACACAGCAATGTGGAATATTGCTCCAAAACTCGACACCGGGTTTATGTCGAAATTTTGTACACATATCGACATTGAGATGTCGAAAAAAGGTCCAATAATCGACAATTGTTTGCTGTCGAAATTTGATTAAAAAATCGACACCAGTGTGTCGAAAATTTGCCAAAAAATCGACAAGTACAGGTCGTTTTTTGTAAAACCGCAACTCCTTCAACAATAGTGCTACAATCGAACCCTAGAATCATCAACTATGTTCTAAAATGACTTGAATTCATTATTCTAACAATAAAATTATGTTTATCACATTTATTTCTCAAAAAAAAGTTAATTCAAAAAGTAATTTTTACTTGCTTTTCGTGAGATTGTTGTGGCGGGGTTGGGGCAACAACGGACTTCAACGGCGACGGGGAGGTGGTGGACTTCAACGGCGACGGCGACGGGGCGACGACGACGGGGCGACGATTGAGTGCTGCAATTGATTTTTTTGTTTTCTTCTTTCCTTCTTCCCTCCTCGTTTTTCAATTCTCAATTCAATTTCTTTTTTCTTTCTTTTTTTTTTTATTTTTTCTTTTTTAAATTGGTCTTGCAAAAGGAAATTAATAAAATAATTTTTAGGCTGCGGCTATATGCAATACTCATTCAACTTGTGCAAGACCAAATTAAAGAAAGATTCCAAAAGATTCTATTTTATTAAGATGGAATGACAAGTATGCCCATAAATTAAATTGGCTTTTTTTTCTCATGTAAGACCAAATACAAATAATGAGAAAAAAACAAAAATCGACACCAAGGTGTCGAAAAACTATGCTACAAATCGACACTTAAGCGTCGAATTTCATAGGTAAAAATCGACATTGACATGTCGAATTTATAGCACAAATTCAAATGTCGAATTTTATACCTCAAAATCGACATCTAAATGTCGAATTTTATACCTCAAAATCGACATCTAAATGTCGATTTTTAGCTGTAAAATTCGACCTGTACATGTCGAATTCGTTTGTGCGGGATTTTTTTTGGAAAATCGATATTCTAGCTAAAAAAACCCATAAATGCATACATTCTTGGGTTCTTCCATCGTAAAATCTTCTATTTTGATGTCTCCTGACTCCATACTTGCCATCTTTGTAAGATTTGTTGAGTTTTGATGATTTTGAATTTCAAGGTTTTGCGGGTTAATGGAGGAGGAAGGAGAAAGGTCTTGTGGGTTTTGGAAGATGGAGAAGATGATAGTTGATCTTGTGGTTTTGTGGTCTTGTGATAGGGTTTTTTGTGTTTTTGAATTTTTGGTCTTGCATATTTGGAATTTTTTATTTTTTTAATAAATAAGGGTATTATAGTATTTATACATTGAAAATTTTAATTTGGTCTTGCACAAGTGGAATTAGTCTTGTATATAGCCGCAGCCAAATTTTTATTTTGGTTGTATTTTATTAAGGTTATTATAGTCTTTTTATACTGAATTTAATAAAAAAAATTAATTTGGTCTTGCCCTAAGTAATTTTCGTCTTGCAAATAGTCGCTGCCAATAATAAATTAAATTTAGGGTAAATTTTGAATATTTTGAAGTGCTAATTTTCACTAGAAGACTCACAAGTCTGCTTTCCTATAAACACAACTTGTTTCTTTTTGCCACCAGAAGGTATGAAAGGAATACACTACACAGTTACATACTTCCGGTACATGTAACACATCTAACTTGAGTGTCGGACTCTTTAAGTTTAGGACGCATAATTACCAAAACCTACTAGATCCTATGTTCTTCTTGCAATAAAATTTCGAAAAAAAAAAAGAAAATAATTCTGATTTCTGATTTTCCGATTTTTTCTTTTTGGACCAAGATTGGTGTATATATGTTACTTTCCGAAACTAATACCAATTGTTTGTTTTTCCCAAAAATTAGACTTACAATATTAATATTATTATGTATTTTATAATTTATATTATAGGTGCATAGAAAATGGAATCTCTAATTTCCGCCAATTTCAGTACAAAGTTTTTATTTCAATTTATGAAATTTCGATTTGAGATTTTCCATTTTTTTTTTAGAACATAGAAGAATTAATGCAACTCCTTGAATTCAATTGGCTAAACTGTTAAACATCAAGTAAGATATTTTTGGTAGAGCATTAAAATATAAAATATATGAAAATCTCAACCACGGAAATGTAGACTCAACCTCAGCCTCAAGATCATATACTTACAAAACTTTGTTCATTTGGAAATAAAAAATGTAGAGAATTAAGTGGACTACAGATTGGCAACTGGATAGTGGGTACTAAGTAATCTTGAAAGCCAATGAAATAAAGAGATATAGATATCAGTAGATAAGACGACTGATTGCAGTTCCTCTTCCCGCCTATTTATAACTACCAACTACCAATCTCTACTTTCATCGCCACCACCTCTTCCTCTTTGATCAACTAACTGATAATAAACCCCAAAAAGAAAAGGAAAAACACTTCCCTTCCTTCAATGGCTGCTTCTTCAATGGCTCTATCTTCTCCGTCTTTCGCCGGACAGGCTGTCAAGCTCTCTCCCGAAGTCACCGGCACCGGCACCGGCAGGATCTCCATGAGGAAGACCTCCGCCAAGCCCAAGCCCGCTTCTTCCGGCAGCCCATGGTACGGCCCTGACCGTGTCAAGTACTTGGGCCCATTCTCCGGCGAGGCACCTAGCTACCTCACCGGCGAGTTCCCCGGTGACTACGGCTGGGACACCGCCGGACTTTCCGCTGACCCCGAGACATTCGCCAAGAACCGTGAACTTGAAGTGATCCACTCAAGGTGGGCCATGCTTGGTGCTCTTGGATGCGTCTTCCCCGAGCTATTGGCCCGCAACGGTGTTAAATTCGGTGAGGCGGTTTGGTTCAAGGCCGGATCACAAATCTTCAGTGAGGGTGGACTCGACTACTTGGGCAACCCAAGCTTGGTCCATGCTCAGAGCATATTGGCCATATGGGGTGTCCAGGTTGTATTGATGGGAGCTATTGAGGGCTACAGAATTGCCGGTGGGCCCCTCGGAGAAGTTGTCGACCCACTTTACCCGGGTGGTAGCTTCGACCCGTTGGGTCTTGCTGAGGATCCGGAAGCTTTTGCCGAGCTAAAGGTTAAGGAGCTGAAGAACGGGAGACTCGCAATGTTTTCCATGTTTGGATTCTTTGTTCAGGCTATTGTCACCGGAAAGGGACCGTTGGAGAACCTTGCTGACCACCTTGCCGACCCAGTTAACAACAACGCATGGGCCTTCGCCACAAACTTCGTACCCGGAAAGTGAGCTTAGGAGCACAAATTGTTGTTAGTAACGTTGTATTGGTGTAAATGAGTGATTAGTTTTCAGCATTAAGAATACGCATTGTGCCATTTTTTTTCCTTTGGTTTGATTATATTGATCGAGTATGATAAATTGTATAATCTCAATGTATCGAACGTTTGCTTCATTTAGCGGTCTATATATGGACAAAAAGCATTTAATTCCTTTCAGGTGAGATTGCACAATCAATTGCTTACTCAAAAAGATGTCAATGGCAAAGAAACACCGAGGAGTACAATTGGACCATCTTCGTGTCGCTGTTGAAACCCTCACGCCTCCGTCTGTTTCGATGGCTTATCCCGTTTATTCTCTGCAAATATTTTCTGATGGCGCGAGATATTTGCAACTCTCCCCCCATACTATTCTGCAAAGCTGAGAATCTGCAAATTACTTGAGAAAATTCAGAGCTTACCTTGAGTATGCGACGCACACGTGTGTAGAGTTGGTTTCAGTCACAAGCCATCATAGATAATTTGGATGATCTTTGGTAAATCCCCAATCTCTGGGAAGTTCACTATTCATGTAAATTCAACTGTAATGAATTATTGGAGGAAGAACATGAACAAGAGAAATCGAGCTTTTGGTGGGTAATCCTTCCATGGTCACTTTTTTATTCAACAAAAGCAAATACGTACGAGTTTAAAAAAATCCAGCCCAAATCTATCCTATCACCACTAACCTACCAATCCATATCACCTGCCATTGTTCATGGATAATGGATTTAAGTTATGTGCGTATATACATGTATACATCGAGAACTGAATAATCACTGATGCTTGTTGTCTAAGCTCGAAAATCTTTTGTTTTTCAATTGCAGATAAATCATTTAGATTGAATTGAATTGAAATCCATCACTAGATATTCAATTGTTAGTTGTTACCAGGCCTTTAACATTATGAATCGACTAACGAAATCGGAGAATCAAAGAATTGACATTTCAACCGTTGTATTCCGACTAAGAATTCCTGAATAAAGTGGGAATCACACATGCATTAATTCACACACATAATTAGTTGATAATAAGTAACCAGAATATATTGTTTCAGCTAATGTTCGACAATTGTTTATGGCACAATTTATGAGGGGTATGGCCGAGGGAGGTCCGATTCTGTAAGTTCAGTCCCTTTAAAAATGAAGAAAAACTAACCATCAGTTGCAATATTTGGTGATTCCTATGTCGGAATCTGATCAACTGATCTACAAATATAATGGATAGTCTGTTTATGGCCAGACATCAACTGTACTCCGATTGTATGCATGTCTTGTTCAAATGCACTGTGTAAAAATCCCGAATTAGTCCATTGGAGATGTTATATTTCAATTATATTGTTGTTCTTTGTTAAGGATTTCTATCCATTTATGCCTAAATCTTATCTTCAATATTGAATCTTTTTTCATTTATATCTCGGTGTGTAGATAGTTTGACAGCTTCGTAGTTGATAGCTCTTCTAGTTTTTGCAGCTTAGTTGGTACGTGATACTCATCGGATTTGTTACTATGACTCGAGCACCGGAAAAGCAGATTCACATTCGTTGAATCCCATATAAATAGCATTATATAAAATATATCAATAATTTACATCAGCCTTAATTCATTACACTCTTCTATGTGAACTTCACTTTCCAGGTACGAAGTTTGTGGCAAATGCCCAGGCATTGTTGTTAACTGGGTCGGCAAGATGGTCAGCGAGGTTCTCCAATGGTCCCTTTCCGGTAACAATAGCTTGAACAAAGAATCCGAACATGGAGAACATTGCAAGTCTCCCATTCTTCAGCTCCTTTACCTTTAGCTCAGCGAAAGCTTCCGGATCCTCGGCAAGGCCCAATGGGTCGAAGCTACCACCGGGGTAAAGTGGGTCAACAACCTCTCCGAGGGGCCCACCGGCAATTCTGTAGCCCTCAATAGCTCCCATCAATACAACCTGGACACCCCATATGGCCAATATGCTCTGAGCATGGACCAAGCTTGGGTTGCCCAAGTAGTCGAGTCCACCCTCGCTGAAGATCTGAGATCCGGCCTTGAACCAAACCGCCTCACCGAATTTAACACCGTTGCGTGCCAAAAGCTCGGGGAAGACACATCCAAGAGCACCAAGCATGGCCCACCTGGAGTGGATCACTTCAAGTTCACGGTTCTTGGCGAATGTCTCGGGGTCGGCGGAAAGTCCGGCGGTGTCCCAGCCGTAGTCACCGGGGAACTCACCGGTGAGGTAGCTAGGTGCCTCACCGGAGAAAGGACCCAAATACTTGACACGGTCAGGGCCGTACCATGGACTGCCGGATGCGGCGGGCTTGGGCTTGGCGGCGGTCTTCCTCATTGAGAACCTGCCGGTGGTGGTGAATTCGGGGGTGGACTTGACTGCCTGCCCGGCGAAAGTGGGGGAAGACAAGGCCATTGAAGAGGCAGCCATTTATGGAAATGGAAGGGAAGTGTTTGCTTTCTTGAGTGTGTATGAGTAGAAAGAGGGAAGTAAGTAGTGTTGGTGATGATGACAAGGGAAGATGGCAGTTATTTTATAGCTAGACGGGAGGAGGAGGTTGCTTCGACCAGACACCCGGTGAAAAACACCGGGTGTAGGGTCGAACAAATCGGAGGAGGAATGGTGGTTGATCTTATCCTGTGATATCTAGCCTATCTCTTCTTTCATTGGGTTTTCAAGATCCCATTGTATCTAAGATTTTTTTTTGGAGTTCTGCCAATAATATCTCAATTGAACACTCTGTAACTGGGACATTCGGACTTGTACATTATTACAGATAATGAGCAAAGACAAAAGAAAAGTTTACATTACTCTTAATAAATTAGTACAAGTACATTTAAACTACAAAATTATCCTTTTATTTGAAAAATTAAATATATACCCCTAAAAACTAATTATGTGTAACAAACTTTAATAGAGATTATGAAATATTTTTTTTGCCACTGAAAAAGAAAATTGTTAGAATATCCCAACATTGAAATGGATGTTTTGCCCTTGTATTATTTATTTTTTTTTAAATGAATTTTTTCATAAAAAAATATTTTATAATTTAGAAGGTTACTTTCTCTTTTTTTTTTTTTTTTTTTTTTGAGAATAAAGGTTACTTTCTCTTACTCATACGTGTATGCAGTGGCGAATCCAGGATTTTTGCCAAGGGTGTTCGAAATTAAATATAGTAAAAAATATAATGGTTGGCTAACAGTTTACGGGGGTTCGGGGGCAGCGTCCCCGATTTTTTTTTTTTTTGAATACTGTACACATTAAATAATAAAAAAAAAAAAATTTAAAGGGATTAGTTTACCATTTTTGGGCAAATTTAGAAAATATTTAAACATAAAATTGGTGAAAATATTAAAGGAGTGGTAAACATATTAAAGTTGCAAGTGACAAAATGTACGTTTCATTATCATATTTTGAATGTTCAAAAAGAAAAAAAAAACTCACATAGTTGTAAATATAGAAAAAAAATTGAAATAATACATATATATACAATATTTAGAATTTTGGAATAATTTATATTATATTTAATATTAAAGAAATGGTAAATAAATTAAAGTTACAAATAGCAAAATATATGTTATATTAGGAGATTTTTTTTAAATATTAAAAAATACCTACATATTCAACATTTTTTAAAACAATTGAAATATTGAATTTTGGAATAATTTATATTATATTTAATATTAAAGAAATGGTAAATAAATTAAAGTTACAAATAGCAAAATATATGTTATATTAGGAGATTTTTTTTTAAATATTAAAAAATACCCACAAATTCAACATTTTTTAAAACAATTGAAATATTCTATGTAATGGAAAATTAGGAATAAAAAAGAAAAAATAATAGAGAGGTTCAGACTCTTGTAAAGGTCTCGAACCCTGTACCTCTGCATGATTCTATAGAGCACTTAACCAGTTAAGCTACAGCAATGCATTGGCCAGGTTTTACATTTGCAGTTATATAGTACTAAATATATACGAAATATATTTTTTTTAAAATCAAGGGTGTGCAGTAGCACACCCTTGGACCACACTAGATACGCCACTGCGTGTATGTCACTCGTACAAGATGAAATTCAGTAAATATTCTGGTCAGCAAATTTTTCTATTTTTTATAATTTCACCAGTCTGGTTGTTAATTTTCATCTTTTGGTGGAAGCATTAGTTGTTTACTACTCTCTTTGAACATTATTTACAGTACAGTAAGAAAAGCTCTAGAACATAAACTAACTAAAAATAGTACTCTGCGATTGGATTCCTGAAGTCCAGTACACTTGATGTTGTGGCAATGCTTCAATATCAGGATTTCCAGATATCCACACCAGAGCTCCGATCCTCATCCATGCATCTCGATTTTCATAAATCAATCTCCAGCCGCACACTTGGCAGAACCTCATTGGCCAAAAGATCCCAAGAGGATTAGTGGTGATAGCCGTTGCCAACTGTACATATATGCCACGTCAAGATTACCGAATATCGCCTGCCTAGCAATAGCAACCTAGATAAGGATATTCATAGATAAGCCCGATTCATATAAATACATTCCCTCGTCTGCCTTAGAAATAAACCCATCAACAAACACAAACAGCCTCCTTTGCAAATAAATACACATTCTTTCATTTCATAATATACATCAATGGCTGCCTCTTCAATGGCCTTGTCTTCCCCCACTTTCGCCGGACAGGCAGTCAAATCCACCCCTGAATTCACCACCACCGGCAGGTTCTCAATGAGGAAGACCGCCGCCAAGCCCAAACCTGCATCGTCGGGCAGCCCATGGTACGGCCCCGACCGTGTCAAATATTTGGGCCCATTCTCCGGTGAGGCCCCCAGCTACTTGACCGGCGAATTCCCCGGTGACTACGGTTGGGACACCGCTGGGCTTTCGGCTGACCCTGAAACGTTCTCCAAGAACCGTGAGCTTGAAGTGATCCACTCCAGGTGGGCCATGCTAGGTGCTCTTGGATGTGTCTTCCCCGAGCTATTGGCTCGCAACGGTGTTAAATTCGGTGAGGCGGTTTGGTTCAAGGCCGGATCACAAATCTTCAGCGAAGGTGGGCTCGATTATTTGGGCAACCCAAGCTTGGTCCATGCTCAGAGCATCTTGGCCATTTGGGGAGTCCAGGTTGTATTAATGGGAGCTATCGAAGGCTATAGAATTGCCGGTGGGCCCCTCGGTGAAGTTGTCGACCCACTTTACCCCGGTGGTAGCTTCGACCCATTGGGTCTTGCTGAGGATCCGGAAGCTTTTGCGGAGCTCAAGGTTAAGGAGCTAAAGAATGGAAGACTTGCAATGTTCTCGATGTTCGGATTCTTTGTTCAAGCTATCGTCACCGGAAAAGGACCATTGGAGAACCTTGCTGACCACCTAGCTGACCCGGTTAACAACAATGCATGGGCCTTTGCCACTAACTTCGTACCCGGAAAGTGAAATTGACATAGGTAATGATGAATTCGGATTGATTAATTAAGGATGATGTATGTAAAGTAGTGTGAATTATTGGAATAATTAATATAATGTGGTTTTATGTGCTTCAACGATTTCTATTGTTGCTTTTGCATTCATATAAACAAACCTAAATTGAGTTAGATTACATTATATTCACAAGGAAATTATGTTCATATTATTTGAAGAACTTTTGTCCGTGCGGATAATCTCAATCTGCTCAATAAATTATCTGTTCATCTGCTTACTTGGGAAAGTACTCAACGCCGACGTTTTGGCTGTGGCTAATGGGCTAATTACATCATCTAATCATACTCGCGCGGATTTGAAGATCCAGAAGTTATGGGCCCAACGGAAGTGTTCAGAAATCTCTCTCTCTCTCTCGCTTATTTCTCTGTCTTCTTCGGTTCTTCACTCTTTCCTATTTCATATCTTCATTTCTGCAAATTATATATAAAAAACCTTCCAATTCTGCATGTTGTTCTTTAAACAGTTTCTCTTGAGATCAGATTTGATGAGATTCGGTGTGCATATCACCTGTTTGATGAAATTTATGTGCGAACGAAATTTGACATCTTGCAAACTTTTTAGTAACAGAGGTATTAGAAAAACTAAGATCAACCAATAAAAATATTAAGCAACTGTAACTCCGAAAATCATCAAGTTCTTGAAAGCCAAAATCTGAAGTTGGGCGTTTTATATATGGGCTGGATTAGTTCTTGAAAGCCCAAATATGTTAAAAAATTAATAACATCGATTATTTCTTCCATTAGATCAAACCCATATACACGAGGCATTGCATTAATGCTTAATACTAATCACTCATTTACACTAGAGAATTAACAACAATAGTGGGCTCACATTATCCCAACTGAAAACACATTCACTTTCCCGGTACGAAGTTGGTGGCAAAGGCCCATGCGTTGTTGTTAACCGGGTCAGCAAGGTGGTCGGCAAGGTTCTCCAACGGTCCCTTTCCGGTAACAATAGCCTGAACAAAGAATCCGAACATGGAAAACATTGCTAGTCTCCCGTTCTTTAGCTCCTTAACCTTTAGCTCGGCAAAAGCTTCTGGATCCTCAGCAAGACCCAACGGGTCGAAGCTACCACCCGGGTAAAGTGGGCCGACAACTTCACCGAGGGGCCCACCGGCAATTCTGTAGCCCTCAATAGCTCCCATCAATACAACCTGGACACCCCATATGGCCAATATGCTCTGAGCATGGACCAAGCTTGGGTTGCCCAAGTAGTCGAGCCCACCCTCGCTGAAGATTTGTGATCCGGCCTTGAACCAAACCGCCTCACCGAATTTAACACCGTTGCGTGCCAAAAGCTCGGGGAAGACGCAGCCTAGAGCACCAAGCATGGCCCACCTTGAGTGGATCACCTCTAGTTCACGGTTCTTGGCGAATGTTTCGGGGTCAGCCGAAAGTCCAGCGGTATCCCAGCCGTAGTCACCGGGGAATTCGCCGGTCAAGTAGCTAGGTGCCTCACCGGAGAATGGGCCCAAGTACTTGACACGGTCCGGGCCGTACCATGGGCTGCTGGATGCGGCGGGCTTGGGCTTGGCGGAGGTCTTCCTCATGGAGATCCTGCCGGTGCCGGTGACTTCGGGAGAGAGCTTGACAGCCTGTCCGGCGAAAGACGGAGAAGATAGAGCCATTGAAGAAGCAGCCATTGAAACTAGGAAGAGGGAAGTGTTTTGCTTGTGTGACTGTTTTAATTAATGAGTAGAAAGAGGAAGTGTTGGTGATAAGGGAAGGAAATAAAGCAGTTATTTATAGTTAGGCGCGGGAGGAGGAATGGTGGTTGATCTTATCTTGCAATATATATAGAGATTAGCAGCATCTCTCTTCTTTCATTGGATTTTCAAGATTTGATTCTACATTTGGCCTCTTCTGCCTGCTCAGTTGGCAAATTATAGTCCATCATTTCATATTTTTTCTCTCAATAAAATCTAGACCAAGATTTTTTGCACGCACCTTGCATTTCAGTTGGTGTCATAAATAAATTAAATTACAAAATCCCCCCTCAAGTTTATATAAATTACAAAATCCTCTATTTTTTGCAAAGCTAAACTTACCTCTCAAATTAGCAAAAGTTGTGAAATATCCAAATGCTCTTGAATAGGGTTGTGCACGGATCGGTTTTAACTACCAACCAACTCATTTTCGACCCATAATTTGTGACGGATAATTAATCATCAACCGACCCATTTAAGTTGGGACGATAATGTCAACCAACCCATGTGTAGTTGGGTCGATAATGATTTTTAATATGGTAAAAAGTTGGTTAGTCGGGTAATATCGGTCAACCAACTTTATTTATGAACTTAATATTTATTAATTTTATTTACAGTGTTTATTATTTTTAACTTCAAATTTCTATTTCATATCACATTTATGAAATTTTCTAATATTGATCAAAATCCTAAAAACAATAAATCTAACCTAATTATCTCATTTGAACTATTTGAATTTTAAAACATATAGCCTAAAATATTTGGACGATTATTAATTGTTTAATTATTTATGTTTAATTGCAATACATAAAATTTTGTATTCAAATATTGTTGAACTAGTCATACTTAATTGTAAAAACATAGTGTTGCAGCAACTAATAAAATATTAAGGATGACCCATCAACCAAACCATCAATCGACCCTAAATTGGTTGTCAACCACCACCCAACCCATGTCAATTGGGTCGATAATGGTTTTCAATATTTACTAAATTTGGTTGGATGAGTTGGGTTGATTTTATGGCTGGTTTTTAACCAATCCAACCAACGCAGAGCCCTACTCTTGACGATATTTTTTTACTTTTTCTTAATATGTTTTTTTTACAATTTCTTAATATTAAAACATATGTTATTTTCAAAGAAGAATAGAGAGATTTTTTTACAATTCTCCAGCCACACACTTGGCAAAACCTCATTGGTCAGAAGCACATACTCACAATCACCTGTTGTCCTCTTCTTCATGTGATTCTTACAACCTCATGTATGATAGCTCCAAAATTATTCAAAGAGGATTAGTGGTGATAGCCGTTGCCAAATGGGCATACATATATGCCACGTCAAGATTCCCAAATGCCACCTGTATATCATATCACTACCAATCTAGATAATGATATTCATAGATAAGGCTCTCATGTCATTATATAACACTATTAATTCATATATAAATACCTTGATTTGCCTGCCTTAGCAATCAACCCAAACAAACACATTCTCTGCAAATACACATTCTTTCATTTGATAATACAACAATGGCTGCCTCTTCAATGGCTCTATCTTCCCCATCCTTCGCCGGACAGGCAGTCAAGTCCACCCCCGAATTCACCGGCAACGGTAGAGTCTCAATGAGAAAGACCGCCGCCAAGCCCAAGCCCGCCTCTTCCGGAAGCCCATGGTACGGCCCGGACCGTGTAAAGTACTTAGGCCCATTCTCCGGGGAGGCACCGAGCTACTTGACCGGCGAATTCCCCGGTGACTACGGCTGGGACACCGCCGGACTTTCGGCTGACCCCGAAACATTCGCCAAGAACCGTGAGCTTGAAGTGATCCACTCCAGGTGGGCCATGCTTGGTGCTCTTGGTTGCGTTTTCCCCGAGCTATTGGCTCGCAATGGTGTCAAGTTCGGTGAAGCAGTTTGGTTCAAGGCCGGATCACAAATCTTCAGCGAAGGTGGGCTCGATTATTTGGGCAATCCAAGCTTGGTCCATGCTCAGAGCATATTGGCCATCTGGGGAGTTCAAGTTGTATTGATGGGAGCTATTGAGGGCTACAGAATTGCCGGTGGGCCCCTCGGTGAGGTGGTCGACCCACTTTACCCGGGCGCTAGCTTCGATCCACTGGGTCTTGCTGAGGATCCGGAAGCTTTTGCGGAGCTCAAGGTAAAGGAGCTCAAGAACGGGAGACTCGCAATGTTCTCAATGTTCGGATTCTTCGTTCAGGCCATCGTTACCGGAAAGGGACCATTGGAAAACCTTGCCGACCACCTAGCCGATCCAGTTAACAACAACGCATGGGCCTTCGCGACAAACTTCGTACCTGGAAAGTGAAGTTGACACAGAGATGAGTGTAATGAATTAATTGGGATTGATCAAGAATGATGTAAAGTTATTGTGAATTATTTGAATATTATATATAATGCCTAGTTTTATGGGCTTCAACAGAATGTAAATGTTGCTTTTTCCGTCTCTGCATTCATATTAACAAACTTGATGAGTTATCAGACGATAGATTCATAAATGGATAGAAATAATTAACAAAGAAAAATAACAGTATATTGGAACATTTATCTTGAATGAAAGTACTAAAATTGGAATCAAGTAAAATAAGTAGAGCAAATCAATCATAAATGGATACAATACGAGAGCATATCAAATCTTTAATTACCTTTTTTGTATATGTATTTTCATATCATCATATGCCTCTAGATGAAAATAAGATGCTACTGAATTAAGATACGTACCCAGGAAATCTGGAATGTGGATCGAAGAAGAAAAGGCAGAAGAGGGGAATTAGCGAATTAGGGCTCAAAAATTAGGCGTCGAATGATACGACAACGTTTTTGGCGCACTGGAAATATTTCAAGTAAGATGACTGGGCTTTATTTATGGACCGAATGTATTGGGCTGAATTGGGAAACAAATAAAATAGGTGGTCTGGTCTATTTACAGAAAAACCGTAGAATCTTAAATATTTCTTAGACTTTATTCAAAAAAAAAATAAAAAATTCTTAGACTACTTATTAGTAGACATCTTCTATACTATCTATTTGATTTATAAAAAAAAAAAAAATTAAAATTCAGTTGAAATTTTTTGTAATCTTTTAGTAAAAAATGCTTGCCAAAGTATTCCAATTTTTTCTTTTAATTTTTTTGTGATTTTACACAATGATTAAAAAATTAGTGGAACATTTTTTAAATTAACATTTACTTGCTTACTTGTTAGTAAACATCTTCAGTACTATCTATTTGAGAGAGAAGAAAATATAAATATTTGTTTTGAATTTTTTTATGATTTTTAGCAATAAGCGTGTGTTAGTACGCGATTGTTTTGTAATTTTGCTCGACTATTAAAATATTTGTCAAATAATTTTTAAATGAACGTCAAATAAATTAGAGCATCTCTAACGGCTCATTTTTGTTTGTTAAAGTTTACACAATCTGTCTGAATATAGGATGCTGTTCTTTATCAAGTACTTGGAAAAAAAAACTTAGTTATGCTTGAAATTATTAAAAAATAATTCAAGAAACAATTGGAAACAATCAGCCGATTGTAAGACACCAAAATTCATATGTTTTCTATTAGATCAAACACATTTACACCAGAGGCATAATAGCATTAATGTGAAACCTAGTCAATCATTTACAGCAATGAATTAAGTAAGAACAATTTATCCGATCACCAACTCCCACCTCATTCTTGAAGCTCACTTTCCGGGTACGAAGTTTGTGGCAAATGCCCACGCGTTGTTGTTAACGGGGTCAGCAAGGTGGTCTGCAAGGTTTTCCAACGGTCCCTTTCCGGTGACGATAGCTTGAACAAAGAATCCGAACATTGAGAACATTGCTAGTCTACCATTCTTGAGCTCCTTCACCTTTAGCTCGGCAAAAGCTTCCGGATCCTCAGCAAGACCCAACGGGTCGAAGCTACCACCGGGGTAAAGTGGGTCAACAACCTCTCCGAGGGGCCCACCGGCAATTCTGTAGCCCTCAATAGCTCCCATCAATACAACCTGGACACCCCATATGGCCAATATGCTCTGAGCATGGACCAAGCTTGGGTTGCCCAAATAATCGAGCCCACCTTCGCTGAAGATCTGAGATCCGGCCTTGAACCAAACAGCCTCACCGAATTTAACACCGTTGCGTGCCAATAGCTCGGGGAAGACGCATCCAAGAGCACCAAGCATGGCCCACCTGGAGTGGATCACTTCAAGTTCACGGTTCTTGGCGAATGTCTCGGGGTCAGCGGAAAGTCCGGCGGTGTCCCAGCCGTAGTCGCCGGGGAACTCACCGGTCAAGTAGCTAGGTGCCTCACCGGAGAATGGGCCCAAGTACTTGACACGGTCAGGGCCGTACCATGGGCTGCTGGATGCGGCAGGCTTGGGCTTGGCGGCGGTCTTCCTCATTGAGATCCTGCCGGAGCTGGTGAATTCGGGGGTGGACTTGACTGCCTGTCCGGCGAAAGATGGGGAAGATAGAGCCATTGAAGAGGCAGCCATCGAAGGAAAGAGAAGTGTTTTCTTTTACTTGGTTTTTTGGGTTGAAAGAGGAAGTGTTGGTGATGATGGAAATTAAAGAAAGATGGTAGTTATATTTATAGGTAGGCCGGAGGAGAAATGGGGATCAAATCTTATCTATTGAGATATCTACCATATCTCTTCAATTCTTTCATTGGGTCCTCAAGATTACTCAACTTTGTTTTCTTCACTGTTTTTTTATTTCAACAATTCAAATCAGAGCTATACACTGCATCCAACTGCATAATTTACTGAATGATGACTTTCTATACTCACTTGATAATAGTTGCATAGCAGTTTAATCAAATCTTAAAAGAAGTGGCATTAATTCTTCATAGAAGGTAACATTTGGAGTTATGCATTGATCAGAATACAGATACCGAACAAAGAACGACAGAAAAGTTGGGGTCGAACTTGATCGTGGATATTAACAATATTACTAATTTATTTCTCATCAATTTGTTTTAGTGAACTGATGCTGCTCTACTAGTTGTAAAGAGAATATTGAGCAGGAGCAACTAAACCGGAAATTCTTTAACGAACAAACACCAATATTACTCGTTTTTTCTTCGTCTTTACGGAATGGTGAATTTATTTTTATCTCAAAATTAAACCATGTCATTGAAAAATTATGATCTTATGGTTAATGTATTTACTTTTAATACCAACTGGATATCAGATCACGTTCATTGGGACACTATATTTAGTATAGCCACAAAAACTCCAAACAGATTCATCAATTCTTGATTTTAATTTGGGGTTTAATTTATTTTTGTTACATCCTTTTGTCTTTTACCTCAATATCTTATGCATGTGGCAATGCTTCAATTTCAGGATACCTGGTTATCCACAGCAGAACTCCTCTCGACCAAGCATCTCTGATTTTCCAGCCGCTTACTTGGCAAAACCTCATTGGTCAAAACAACATACTCATATGATTCTTGAGTCATCATGTCTAAAAAAATATCCAAACAAAGGTTAGTGGTGGTTGTGGTAGCAACTGCCAAATGGATATGCCACGTCACGATTACCAAATGTCACCTACCAATAGGAATCCAGATGATGATATCCATATAGATAAAGACTCTCATCTCCACAATTCATATAAATACCTTAGTATGTCTGCCATGGGAAAATCATCCATTCAACAAACAACCTTGCAAAATACAGTATATTTCATTTTGAAAAATACCAACAATGGCTGCCTCTTCAATGGCTCTATCTTCCCCATCTTTCGCCGGACAGGCAGTCAGGCTCTCTCCCGAAATCACCACCACCGGCAGGTTCTCAATGAGGAAGACCGCCGCCAAGCCCAAGCCCGCCGCATCCAGCAGCCCATGGTACGGCCCTGACCGTGTCAAGTATTTGGGCCCTTTCTCCGGTGAGGCACCTAGCTACCTCACCGGTGAGTTCCCCGGTGACTACGGCTGGGACACCGCCGGACTTTCTGCCGACCCCGAGACATTCGCCAAGAACCGTGAACTTGAAGTGATCCACTCCAGGTGGGCCATGCTTGGTGCTCTTGGATGCATCTTCCCCGAGCTTTTGGCACGCAACGGTGTCAAAATTCGGTGAGGCGGTCTGGTTCAAGGCCGGATCTCAGATCTTCAGCGAAGGTGGACTCGATTACTTGGGCAACCCAAGCTTGGTCCATGCTCAGAGCATATTGGCCATCTGGGGAGTCCAGGTTGTATTGATGGGAGCTATTGAGGGCTACAGAATTGCCGGTGGGCCCCTCGGAGAGGTTGTTGACCCACTTTATCCCGGTGGTAGCTTCGACCCATTGGGTCTTGCTGAGGATCCGGAAGCTTTTGCCGAGCTAAAGGTTAAGGAGCTAAAGAACGGGAGACTAGCAATGTTCTCAATGTTCGGATTCTTTGTTCAGGCTATTGTTACCGGAAAGGGACCGTTGGAGAACCTTGCCGACCACCTTGCCGACCCCGTTAACAACAACGCATGGGCCTTTGCCACAAACTTCGTACCCGGAAAGTAAATGAGTTTTCAGTGGGGATAATGGGATTCCATGTTTGTTCTTGCTTTTTTTTTTTGTGTGTGTAAATGTGTGCTTGTTTTTCAAGCACTAATTAATGAGAGGCCTCTGGTGTAAAATGGGTTTGATTTAATTGAATGCATTTAAGCTTTTGGTTTCTAGTAGTGGGTTTTGGTTTCTGATACAGTACTCTGAATTTGGTTTCTTGAACTTATGATTGAATATGCAGAGTAATAAAAACGTTACAACAAGTGAAGTCGCTCTGCCGTGCTGACACGATTCAAAGAAAAACGGCCGCAATTCAAATGCCAATATCGAGTCAAATTTCACCCAAATTATTCAATCGTCGATATCCCCAATATGTAAAAGCCCTAATTCCATCGGCATAAAAACAAAATCCTAAAACCCTAATTCCGACAATTGACAATTATACTTTTCTTTCTGCCCCCGGCAAGAATCAATTGCCAAAGTTTCAGAATGCAAAGACCAACTTCCCCACACACCCGATTTTTCACCTCTCTCAAACACCTCGAGAAAAGACTCAAACTTGAAAACCACCCATCGGCAATCACCACTCTTTGCCCAACACCGCCTCCGCCGCCGCCGCCGCTGCTGTCACCTCCCACAGCATCGCAAGGAATCGTCAACAGCACCCAGCAAACAGATTCCCTCGGTACCCCTATATACCTCAACTGCAACCACTCCTGCACCGCCAATACAACAAGCTGCTCAAACCTCCAAGAAAGTGAAGCCCCACAAGAATTTCTGCCAAAATCCCCCAATTTCCCACCAACCCATCACAGTTCACCTCGCGAAAATCAAGCCCAATTCCATGAAAACGTTGATCTAGCCGGAGAAACGTCCGATATTGATGACGATATTGAGATGTTGATGCAGCTATTGAATCCGTCCAATCAAAAGGCGGGGGTTAATTGCGTGGATTGTGATGATGGGTTTTACGGGAAGATCGTAGGGGTGAAGGGGCCGAAGAGTGGGAAGGAAGTGGAGAGATTAGAGGGGTGGATTGAGCATTTCTTGAATGGTGGGAAGAAGAAATTAGAGCCATTTGCTATGGCGCATTTGCTCCTAGGAAAAGCTGCTTTTGTGCAGTCGGATGATGATTGTAATGGTTTTGGAGAGTTTATCTTTCCCTCTACCATCGGTGAGTTCTTGCGGAATGACCCGCCGATTGATTAGGTTTGTTTTCAGTTCGAATTCAGTGTTGTGGAAATAATATCTGGTTGCTGTAACCAGTTTGTACTTTGTTGTACAATTTTCTAGCAGTAGGATTGACCCAGTTGCTCCTGCGTTTCGTCGCATGAATTTGGGAGGTTAAAAAATAAAATTAAAAAGAAAAAAATAAAGAGGGAAATTAAAAATAAAAATAAAGAAAAAATAAAAATAAAAAGAGGGAAATAAAAAATAAAATTAGAAAGAAATAAAAGAGGGAAATTAATACAATGAAAAAGAAGAAAAGAGGGAAATTAAAAAATAAGTTGAAAAGAAAAAAAGAGGGAAATTAAAAAAAAAGTTAAAGAGAAAAAAAGAGGGAAATTAAAAATAAAAAATCGTATGACTTTGGGAGACTGAAAAATAAAAAAAGAGGGAAATTCAAAATAAAACAAACTAAATAAAAAAGAAGAAACGAGGTAAATTAAAAAATAAACCAAAATCATAAAAAATAAAATAAAACATAAAAGAGAAAGAGAAAGAGAAAGGGGGAATTTAAAATAAAATTAAAACGGAAAAAAGAGGCAAATTAGAAATAAAAAAATCGTATGAATTTGAGGGAAATTTACAATAACATAAACAAGAAATTATCCTTACAAAGAAGATAAGATGGAAACTAAAAATAAAATAAAAAAGAAATTAAAAAGAAGAACAGAGGGAAAGAGGGAAATTAAAAATAAAATAACAAAGAAATTAAAAATAAGAAAAGAGGGAAATTAAAAATAAAATAAAAAGGAAATTAAAAAGACGAAAAGCGGGAAATTAAAAATAAAAAATCGTATTACTTTGGGAGATTTAAAAGCAAAATTCTAAAAAAAAAAAAGAGAGGGAAA